TAAATATGAAGATGTGTATATGGACCATTTAGTCATCATTTATTGAGGGATTGTAACACAAATGGTCATTATCAAGACTATGGCTGTGATACATATAATTTAGGTCAATATATACAAGGTCAAGGTCACTAAAGATGATGAAATATCCAGATTTTGTAAATAGAATTTAATCAAAGGGCAACAACAAAGTTATTACTTTGTTCATAAATGATTTACACAATTACTCCCCTTGATCTACTTTCACTTTCAATTCTAAAAATAGAATTTAATCAACGGGCATAAAATAATCCTCTTTCTTGGACTTGAGTATGTTCTAAAGAATGTAACATTTATTTACACATGTTTCATTCATTGGTCAAGATTCTTAACTGTGATAACTATGGTGTTCTGTAGACTTGGTATTTGTTCATAAAGATCATACAGTAATTACCTTATCAAATGTAAATACTTTCTCATAGAAATTTAATTATATTTTAATTTTCAAGTAAATATCAGCTAGTTCAGCTCATTCAAAGATTAAGAATTGTAATGAAATGTATTTCCCTAGAATAAAATCTTAAATCAGAATTTTTTAGTTATTAAATTACAATTACATGTACTTTTTATCTTCCCTACTGATTTGTTTTAAGGTTCATTTAACAACACAGTGCGGCTGTGCCAAGGATAAAAACTTGCTTGCTAGATAACACTTATCCATAATGCCCCCATCTCCATCTAAAGCTTTCGTAAACGGGCGTATTTTGTGACTATGGCACCCTTGTTGTAAATGAAATTAACATTGCAACGGAAGCAAATTTATTTATAATTACTTATACATGTATATAGCAATCCCATTTAGCTAAGTATCTGAAAGATTAACTCACCATTAAAATGCACAGCTGAATTAAAAAGTGATCCCATGGTATACACAGCTTAGTAAGTGGTCCCCATAAATTATGTCACATGGTTTTGTACATCACAAGATAACCAGAATAAATCTTTGAATGAAGGGAAATAATTCAGAATAGCATTATGAACTTTGTAAACAGAATTACCTCCCCTTCAAGATTCAAATTGGGACAGCAGGTCAAGGGGAGTTAATATGCTGAAAAAGGTCAAATGGAAGTAGGTTCTATATACCAATCAATATATCTGGGTAAAAGTAAATCAAAAGAATGATCACCACTTAAAAATTGCATGTCATCAAAGAAATGTGGCAGAGGGGTTACCTTTAATGGTTGATGCCCATGTGATTGTTTGAGGCAACTTCATGCAATGGGAATAACAGGGGTCTTAAATACATCTCTTTGGTCCAGGAGTTGAGGTGGTTTTTATCCCTGGTGTTGCTTTAAGTTTGTTACACCCCAGGTTAGCGACAATCATCTTCCCTGTACCGGCGCCATATGACCTATATATAAGGTGTTGTTGCTATTGTATACACACCGGTCTCTCAAATATTGTCAGTAAGACTGGTGTGCACAATGGTGTTGCGCCATAGAACCAAACAATCAAAAGCCTGAGTAATTTAGACTGGGCGCTAAGTGACCTCCCTTTGAAAATACAAATGTGTGTCAAGCCTCGGAGGCAAAGTTACATTATTGCATCTGGCAAAGGAATGTGAGTTTAATTGAAATTTAAAATGAAGTAATCCAAGTGAGTTTATGTGTTGGCAATGCAGCTGCAAGTTTCCCGCCTTATATGACACTGCTCGTGCGCTCAACGGTAATTGAGTCCACAGTTTCCAAAGTAAGAGACCTATTTACCAAATAAATGGACAAGATAAAGAAAAAATCAAAGTAAAGAAAAACCTGTATGCCTGAATTAAAATGCCATTTTAACTTGATACCATGGTTGAGTTTGCATTTTGACAAAATGAAATGATAAAAGTTAGATATCTACATTCCACATCATGGAATGACCTACAATTTTTTTAGTCTATTTTCTTGACTTAATTACGCAGTGGGTGTATTTTAACAATGAAAATGACATGTTTAATTATTTTTTTTTACAACAATGTAAAGTTAATTGGGCGAATGTTAGTTTCTACTGAAGGTACAAAACAATCGTTGAACCGTGCTATGTTTAAAACAAAACATTAAAGATCATTTTAAGATCAAAAATAGCATTTAACTTTATTTTTTTGTTTAAAATCAATAACTGTCCTAAAAATATACATATATCCATACTTTGGTTCAATTAATCTTAGTTGTTATTTTTTATTTATTTATTTTTTTAATTGAAAGTTATCTTATATAAACTAAAGGACTTTTCTTTTGGAATGACCATACTGAAGGAATGATGCGGAATACCTTTTTCTGTTTTGTTATATTTACATCCATCTTGAAGCCAGTTCACTGTGGTAGGTATATTTTGATTTTTTGAAGTGGATCGGTCATCTAGGTTAAACCATTGTAAGGCATATCAATTTGATGTGTTGATTTATTTATTTTTAATATATAGAGGATATTTAATTTTTTTTCTATAAATACAGGATTTATTTTCATTGAGTGGTATGAAAATAAATATTTCATGAGTTGCAGTTAAACCACAAGTTAATGTGATAATTTTCATACCACAAGATGAAAATAAATCCTGTATTTTAATGGAAAAAACTTGAATTTTCTGTTTATTATATACATTTTTGTCTTTTTTGACATTACAATTGGAAAGATTTTTCCCTTAAATTTTATATATTGGCTGAATTTAGAAGAAAGAAGTCCGGCATTGAAGATATCAGTGAAAATATGGAAAATATGTTTCACTGCAGTGATAAATAAATTTTTACAGTGAAAATATGGAAAATGAAAATACACATTTTATTCCATCGCTATTTCATTTATAAGTAAATTATAAATGCTATATTTATATAAAACTGATCTCTCCCAGAAAGTACAAAATTTTTCATCATTACCCAGTAAGATATATTTTGGAAGAATTGGAAGAAATATTGGATTCTGCAAAATGACAATTTTAGTGAAAAGAAGCAATGAATTAGTAGAAAAAGTACATATTCTTCGTATCTAGTTAGACAATGTCCTCTTTGCAAAGAGAATCTATTTGATTGACCCATATTATGAACATAGAAACATTGAAAAGAGAAATAGTTCTTAACAGTGTTTTATTGTATTATAACGTCTCTAGTCATAAGAAAAAATATTTATTATACCCGTGTATTATATATTCATTTATTATCCCCCGCCGATGGAATCGGGAGGGGGATATAGTTTTGGCGTTGTCCGTCCGTCCATCTGTCCGTCCGAATTGTGTTTCTGGAGTAGTTCTCTGCAACTACTGGCTGGAATTCAACGAAACTTTATGGGAATCATCAATATCAAGAGGAGATGCGCATATCGTCGGCTTGTTCCGGTCCGACCCTTTATCTCAGAGTTATGGCCCTTGATTAGTTATGTAGTATGCATATAGAGTAAAAATCGTTTCCGGAGTAGTTCTCTGCAACAACTGGCTGGAATTCAACGAAACTTTATGGGAATCATCGATATCAAAAGGAGATGCGCCTATCGTCGGCTTGTTCCAGTCAGACACTTTAACTCAGAGGTATGGCCCTTGATTAGTTATGCAGTATGCATATAGAGTAAAAATCGTTTCCGCACTACTTCTCTGCAACTACTGGCTGGAATTCAACGAAACTTTATGAGAATCATCAATACCAAGAGGAGATGCGCATATCGTCTGCTTGTTTGGGTCAGACACTTTAACTCAGAGTTATGGCCCTTGATTAGTTATGTAGTATGCATATGGAGTTAAAAACCGTTTCCGCGCTACTTCTCTGCAACTACTGGCTGGAATTCAACGAAACTTTATGGGAACCTTCAATACCAAGAGGAGATGCGCATATCGTCGGCTTGTTCAGGTCAGACACTTTAACTCAGAGTTATGGCCCTTGATTAGTTATGCAATATGCATATGGTTGCAATATGCATATGGAGTAAAAATCGATTCCGGAGAAGTTCTCTGCAACTACTGGCTGGATTTCAACGAAACTTTATGAGAATCATCATTATCAAGAGGAGATGCGCATATCGTCGGCTTGTTCCGGTCAGACCCTTTAACTCAGAGTTATGGCCCTTGATTAGTTATGTAGTATGCATATAGAGTAAAAATCGTTTCCGCACTACTTCTCTGCAACTACTGGCTGGAATTCAACGAAACTTTATGGGAACCTTCAATACCAAGAGGAGATGCGCATATCGTCGGCTTGTTTGGGTCAGACACTTTAACTCAGAGTTATGGCCCTTGATTAGTTATGCAGTATACATATAGAAAAATATTTGTTTCCTCGCTACTTCTCTGCTACTACTGGCTGGAATTCAATGAAACTTTATGGGATACTAAGAGGAGATGTGCATATAGTCGCCTTGTTCCAGTCAGATACTTATAACTCAGATTTATGGCCCTTGATTAGTTATGTAGTATGCATACATCTCATTGGCATTTCCAGATTTTACTATTAAACACAAAGTTATGGCTCTGTTATTGCCCTGAATATTTATTAAGTTCAAAGAATATTACTGTTTATGCCATGATTAATATATAAATAAAGCCTTATGTCTTCAGTTGTTGTGTTAATAATAACCAGTACTCGGCGGGGGATATAAATTCAACGAATTTGCTTGTTTACTTTTGGTTGGGGTTTTACATCGCATCAACACTGTACAAGTCATATGGCAACTTTCGAACTTTACTTAAGAAGATCTCGGGTGCTGGTCTGTGCATCATTCATGCACGAATGAGCACCTGAGTAGAACCATCTATGTTCTGTAAGCTAGCTAGATAGCTTCTTCAGGTGTAGAATCCAAAGTCCCTTTTGGGATTTGAACCCACGCGGTGCCAGGAGCAAGTTATTTGAAGTCAACGACCTTTACCACTCGGCCATGGACGCTCCTCCTGGATTTATTAAAATGTGAATTTAATATTTAAGATATTTTCTTAGATTATTCTGATTAAGTAGAGACAGCTAGTATGTTCTCAGCACATTTCATTGACTTTATTTGATTTTACAGTATCGGAGCCTACCTTTACGGCTTCTTACCCTGTCACAGTGCTTAAAGATGAGGGTAGTGCTACACCCGGGGGTACAGAACTCCACGAGTTTGAAGCCCAAGACGCCGAAACGGGTGTGATACCATTCTTAGATTTTACTTATGACCCGACAAGTGGTGCCGACATGTTTGAAATCACAGGTAAATGCAATCTAATAACTCGTACCATTGTGAATTTGTAATATGGACTTATAGTGTCCTCAAAATCGTAACCCTGAGATTAATAGCAATGATATATTTTGCCGTTTAAAACCTGGGCATCCTACACGTCGGTGTTCCCAAATCAGACATACTACATGTATATTTTTGTAAAATAAAAATATGTCACGCTAGCAAAATGGGCAGTTCCGTTTTCAAAGCATGTCAAGTACAATATACGAGAATTATGAGATTTTTAAGGGTTTATTGTAAATTATGTGAATATTGCATGTATTATTATTATTATTATTATATCTGTGTCGATTTTTAAGGGTTCATTGTAAATTCTGTTTATATTTCATGTATTATTATTATTATTATTATTGTTATTGTATGTGTAAGCTTCTAAAGGCACATTGAGTCTCAGCAATGATTTTATCTTTCTGCAGAAAGAGCAAGCATATTTTTAATAATGTTGATATACTTTAGAATATGTGAGACACCTGAAAAAATTACCCCAAATTTGAAATAAATTGTAATAAGAATTGCAAACATTTAATGTAAACAAACTGTGGTATTTTGACTTCAGTACAAAATGAAAAATCACTATACATTTGTAACTGTACGAATTAGCAAAAAACGCATAATATGAAACAACTGTATAGACCTTTTTTACGATACGGGTTTTCCATAGTAACGGATGTTACATTTCGCACCTGCGCATTCTCCGTATTATCAAGTAGTAACATTTTGGACATTGTAAAAGGACACAGTCATAAATAAATAGATAAATAAATAAATGTATTTTAAGGTTTAATGGGCCTTGCAGCTAGTGTACATTTGTTTTCTAAAGAATCCTTTTTTATTTCAAGAAACGGTAACTGCTACAGCAAGAAAAGCTGTTGTGACTTTGAAACCAAACGAGGAGTTTGATTATGAAACGCTCGACACCTACAAGATCTATGCTAAGGCATCGGACGGCACCAATACAGCGACAGGATTGCTGACCATACAAGTCAGGGATGTGGGCGAGGCACCGACCATGAACCCAAATACCACCGAGCAGTACTTCACTATTGAGGAAAACGCTGTATGTTTTATAATTTAAGTAACACAAGTTCCCTGTTTGTTCTTATACACGAGTCAGTCACTGTTGTTACCAAAGAACCTACCCTCGTGGCAGTGCAGAGTAAAGCAGGTTAAATGAGCTGTGTTTTTACCGGCACAGCCATATCATTGGATGTATCTTTGTTTTTGCACCTGGATATATTCAACTCTCACTGCAGAGCATAAGTGGGGATTTTATGCTTTAACACCGGGACCATTTCCAGGGGTTGAATTATCTTTACTCAGAGTCATGGCAATGACAAGTACCCGTAGGTTGGTGCCATGTTTATAACTCACAAGCGCCTCATTTAAAACAATCTAAGTAAAATATTACTGGTAATTTAGCATCACTTTTGGAGTACATGTACAATAAACGTTAGTATGACATTGAACACCTTTTCCGTAGAATGCCTTCATATTTGACATAACATAAATGGTGAAATTTATATAAGCTATACAATTAATCAATTACCAGATTTATTATATCTCGTGTAAACCTTTTACTGTATAGCCTAATGTGGCATAACATGGTGTTATTTCAATATTTAATCCTGGAAAGTCAGTAATTCTCTTTTTTTTTCAATATTCCCCAGGGGAGAGTATTCTAGACGGACTTAAGAAAACGGAATGTTGTAGTTCTCTCCCCTGACTGCAATAATTGCTGATAAATTACAGCTTAGTATAACCAGAGACTCTTTATTATTTTATATATCTCTGGTATTTCAAAAAATCTACATGTCAGTCAGGGTAATAATGCATAATAACCTAATACCCAAGGCTCTGTTACTTATATAATATTCTTCAATACATGAACAGTATCTCGATTTTAGGCAGGTACGGTGATCGGTAGTCCAAGTTTTACCATCCAAGATCTGGACAACATTGACGTTCATACTTGGGCTATTACTGGCGGTAACGGAAGCAGCTATATAAGTATAAATACTAATAATGGTACGATAACTCTAAAGGTATGTAACACCGTGGCTTTTGAATGGCTAACATTCACTGATTTTTTTATTATGTTTCAATTGATTTGAAAAAAGTGCAGATTGTAATTTCTGATTTTTGGTTCATAACTCTTAAGGTATATGTAACACCTTGGCTTTTAAATGGTTAATACCTTCATTGATTTCTGTAATATGTTTTAAATGATTTAAATAAAGTGCAGAAGGCAATTTCTGATTTTTAGCTCGACTATTAGATAAGAATAAGTAGAGCTATTGTAGTACCCCGAGCGTCGGCGTCCGCGTCGGCGTAACCACTTATGTTAAAGTTTTTGTAATAGTTTAAATATTTTCAAAGTCCATTGACATATGGCTTTGAAACTTTGCACACTTGTTCACCATTATTACCCCAACCTGTAAACAGGAGGAGGTAACTGTATCAAGCATTTTGACAGAATTATGCCCCTTTTTCGACTTAGAATTTACGTTAAAGTTTTTGTAATAGTTCAAATATTTTCAAAGTCCATTGACATATGGCTTTGAAACTTTGCATACTTGTTCACCATCATTACTCCAACCTGTAAACAGGAGGAGGTAACTGTATCAAGCATTTTGACAGAATTATGCCCCTTTTTCGACTTAGAATTTACGTTAAAGTTTTTGTAATAGTTCAAATATTTTCAAAGTCCATTGACATATGGCTTTGAAACTTTGCACACTTGTTCACCATCATTACCCCAACCTGTAAACAGGAGGAGGTAACTGTATCAAGCATTTTGACATAATTATGCCCCTTTTTTCGACTTAGAATTTATGTTAAAGTTTTTGTAATACCTCAAATATTTTCAAAGTCCATTGACATATGGCTTTGAAACTTTACACACTTGTTCACCATCATTACCCCAACCTGTAAACAGGAGGAGGTAACTGTATCAAGCATTTTGACAGAATTATTCCCCTTTTTGGACTTAGAATTTACGTTAAAGTTTTTGTAATACCTCAAATATTTTCAAAGTCCATTGACATATGGCTTTGAAACTTTGCACACTTGTTCACCATCATTACCCCAACCTGTAAACAGGAGTAGGTAACTGTATCAAGCATTTTTTTTTTACAATCAAGCACTAAGAATAGTCGAGCGTTGCTGTCCTACCGACAGCTCTTGTTTGGTACCATAACTCTTAAGGTATGCAACACATTGGCTGTTAATTGTTTGTTAATACACGTACTCACTAATTTCTTTATAAATGTTTTAAATGATTAGGGAAAAAGTGCAGATGGTAATTTCTGATATTTGGTTCATGCTCTGAATAGAATTAGTTTATAAGTGTGCACGGAGTGGCTTAATGAGGTCTTTCTCCACCAATAAAGCCTGAAAGTCGTCATCTGACCTGTACTATACTATGTTGGTGCGACGTAAAACCCAAACAACAAAAACATGAAATCAATGGAGTTATGTGAATTTACCCCAGCAAACACATGACATTGTATCAACATTGGATAGACGTTGGATTCCAACGTTGGATAGACGTTGGATTCCAACGTTGGATAGACGTTGGATTTTAGTTGTTTATTACTTTACTTATTTATTATTTACACAATATAATTATATAAGATATTTAATCTAATAGACATCGTTATGATATTACAACAAAAAAATATATAAAAAAAATTTAGAACTCTTTCACAAATTTTAAGCATTGCTCGCAATCAAAATATTTTATATATAATGCAGCTCATTTACATAAATGATGTACATGTACACATATATGAAACTCCAAAAGCTTTAAGCACATGCATTTAATTAAGACAAAGATCTTTAAAAATAATTGTTTTATTCCAGACAAATTATGACAGAGATGATGCGAGCCTTTCTGAAGGTTTATATGTTGATGTGAGCATCACCGACAAGTATAGTTTAAGGTTGGCTTTTTTAATCCTTAGATTCATTCTCTTTATTTTAAAAAAATATGTTTTAGCTGATTTTTATTTGGAATGTTCATTGTAAATCTACTACTCTAATTTTGTACTGGGCTCTTTATAAATATTTGCTTTTGAGATAGCCAACCCATGCCATTAGCTAGCCCAGTCTTGTTTCCCATGTCACACTTGACTGATAATACACTACAATACAGTACAGTAAGTAAAGCACAGTACAGTAAGTATAGTACAGTCCAGTCCAGTACAGTACAGTACAGTACAGTAAGTATAGTACAGTACAGACCAAACCAGTACAGTCCAGTTCAGTGCAGTAAGTATAGTACTGTACAGTAAGTACAGTACAGTGTATAGTACAGTACAGTTAGTATAGTACAGTAAGTATAGTACAGTACAGTACAGTACAGTCCAGACCAGTAAGTATAGTACAGTACAGTAAGTACAGTACAGCACAGTCAGTATAGTACAGTACAATACAGTAGAGTAAGTATAGTACAGTACAGTATAATACAGTACAGCACAGTAAGTATAGTACAGAACAGTACAGTACAGTACAGTTTATTTGCTTTAAACATTACAAAACATGGCTGACGATAGATTGTTTTTCTTTGCAGCGTCACCACCATCTACTACATCACAATCACTGACCGTAACGATAATATCCCTATATGCAGTCCTAAAATTTACAACTTTAACGTCACGCGGACGACTGCAATTGGAACTGTTCTGGCTACACTCGCTTGTACAGATGCTGACATATCATCTCCTAACAATGAAATCACGTACTCGTTCATCACCAATGATGCAACCAGTAACTACTTCAATATCAGTGGGTCCGATATTGTGTTGTCGGTAAGGTTTTTGAAATATTTCTAGCACCATATATTGCGATATCAGATTATATATATGGTTTTATTTTCCATATTGTACTAGTCCAATATCGTTTTGTTGGTAACATTTAAGGCTATAATACTATTTTTTTGTTGTTGTTGTCGGGGTAAACTTCAATTACTTGAATGATTTTGTGTTGTATGTTTGAACACGAACCGATTGTCATATCATGTCTGTGGCTTGAATGAGACTACTTACGTTTTGTCTTTTTTAACATCGATAGGTTACAGTATAAGTTAGCCAATGTAATTGTAATTCATATCTTGATATCATGTGACTTGTAAACGTTATACCGATATTCTGTTAAGTTTTTCTTCTATACATAGAATACATATAAAGTCCAGTTTTGTTGAAGCTGGTGACCTCAGCACACAAGTATCATCAATAACATACTTTTCTACTCTCATTTACCGTTTCTGGAAAAAAGAGTCTCTGGTTTTACGGAATTCTTTACAGACATAAGACCTCCGGAAAATATTAAATACATTATTTTTAAGTCTCTTTGTGGATAAAGTTTTATATATGTTTTACCATTAGCTTAAGATATTTTGAATCCTGTAATTGAACATGTATGTTATACATGTATTTATTTCTTGGTTAGTACCTCATGGACCTCGAATATGGCGGCGGACCGTACACCGTGTTTGTAAACGCAGCCGACGGCGGGAGTATACCGACAACATCAACTGTGACTCTAACTTTCACTATACCAGAAGCTACAACCCTACCACCAACTACTACAAATGTGCCTAATCCTGGGTATGATGCTCTTTCCAGCGACGATTCACTTACCGTCTTCTTGATAATCGCCGCCTTTGTTGCCGGTATATTTGTTATTTATTACTACTTATTACTATAACACATTGAAAGAGTTTGATTACTCAAACCTTCTTTTTTCCTCAACACCAAGTGTCTATTCTAGATGGGGGATTATTCTAGATGGGGGGATTCACTTATATTTTTGAGAATTCCCTCCTATTTTTGTCAGAAGCAGGGTGGAAATTTCACAAAGAGAAAGAAGGAAAAAGATCAATTAATGTAATAAATTCTCATTTTTCGATAAAAATTACCCGTTTTTTTTTAAACTGAACACCTTGGATATAAAATCTACTTTAACTTACATCTCTGTAAGTTTGTGTAACTTTGGCATATTTCGCCACTTCCCGTGTCTTATGACTTGATACGACCAGGAGCAAAAAACAACAAAAAAAACACTTTTCTTATAGATATGAGATACGGAAAGTGGCAATATTTGCTGGACGAACTCGAGTATATTTAGAGGGGATTAATTTGAGTAGACATTTTTTTCGCCAATACAGCCCATCCGTTTAAGATTGATATAGTGCCAAGTTTATTAAAGTTTGAACCTCAGTCCAGGCAAAGATATATAATCTACATATAAGTGACTAAAATAGTTATTATTTTAGATATTGTCAACGCCTTTTCCCAGCTTTAAATATTGTGAGCAAATGTAGAATATTTCAGAAATGTTTATATTGATATCAATGATTTTAACCCTTTCCCCCATGAGCGTATTGTGAAAAATGGCCATTTTCACTGAAAAGCCTCCTCTTACAAGTTCAAACTGCTATGAAACTATGAAAAATGCTTCAATACTAATCAAACTTGGCACTAATGTTGACTGGACCATTGCCTTTGTAACGACATGCTCAGTCTTAAATTTCCTGTTACCATGGCAACGAGAGGACATCTCAAAATTGCCAAAAATCACTATTTTGCCTTGATTTTTTCCATCAAATTTATTTCAAAGTGCTGCAACTTCTCAAGGGATTGAGATAGAGTCAAAGGCTTTTCAGCGTTGGTTTCACGTTACCTTATGATCGACCTGGGGTCATTTTAAGCCTCTCACAAGTCCAAAATTTTCTTGGCGATGAGGGGGACTCCGCCCCCTTCAAACCCCCCAAACAGAAGGGTGCACATCCCCCTTCTGGCAACCCCTGATGTATCTTTTGGATGGGGGGCGGCGCCGAAAAAGTGCTCACTTTTTTTAGCAACATTTCTCAAACGAAAACATGTGTTTGGGGCCCAAATAGGACATTTTTTCACTATTTCAGACCTAAAAAAGGGGGGGGGGGTCGAAATTGAGTTGTTTCGCGTATATATGAGGTAAAGGGTTAATATCCTGCCATGTCTGGAATATATTACTGAGAGACTAGAAAAATAGCCATATGTGGAACGATATGACAGGGTCAGTTATTACATATTTCACTTTGTATTATTTCTAACAAAGGATATCTCTTTTTTTTCAACAGCGTGTATTCTGGGCTATGTACTCATACTTTGTTGGCGATGGAATACATTTGGAAAATGTCTGCCAAGCAAATGTCCTGACAGACATGATTGTGCGACATGCTGCGTGTGTTGCCCTGGAGATGAGTAAGTGTTTTTGTTATTGTGTACTAAGTCATTGAAAGTTGAAACACGTTGATTAAATGACAAATCAAATTAAATTATAAATAGCTTGCTTACGTTTAATTTTGAATACTTAAGAACGATAACTTTACAAAATAACTTTCATTGTTTCAAAATGACCGTGTCCGTTTTATGACTGATAAAAGTAGACAGTATTTATGAATAATATTATTGGCCCAGCTGAAAATAAAGATATTAATGTGTTTCATGCAAATGCTTCATAAGTTTTGAAGTTTTCCAGGCTCAAACATGTAAAATTTAATCGTTTAACTTTATGCACCCATGTACACGATTGACGCTCATATTATACACAGGGAGGAGACGGTGTTTACTTTTTGAAATGAAATGGAATGTTAGCCAAGTTGTGTTTTAGGCGACGGAGCAGGATACAGGAATTCCATTTCATAAATTAACCACTGACCACCTGTGTATAGCGTTCATACTATGATAAAACCGCAGTGGAGTCCCTTTCATGTACACTATTCGAGGCAGACAGTGAAAATTTAAAATATATACAAAATATATGTAATAAAGTTTTATATATGATTTTGTACATTTATCTCTTTTTATTTTGCTAGTATAGAGAAAAACAGTATTATCGACAACGAACTACCAAATATTGGGAACAAAAAAGGTAATTTACATGTATATTCAGGCCTCGACATTAGCGGTGGTCCATTGGTCCGAGACCACCTGATTTTGGCAAGGACCACCTAATTTTACAGGCAACTGGTCCGTTAGACCACTTGAATTTTCCAAATGGTGCAGGGCTCATTTGGGAGAATGGTTATTTGGTCGAAAAACGTGTTCTATAATTGTTGTTTAAAACCATTTCTCCGTTGTACATGTATATGTTCATTCATCTCATTAGTTCAAAAGATCTTAAGACATCTATAACTTTTTATTAACTCGCTTACAGTGTAGTTAAAAAAAGTAGAAAATTATTTTAATAATTAAAGCTATAAAATTCATTCAAATGTCTCTAGTACTCCATTGAATTTATAACATTGTATCACTATGGATATCGGATAAAACACATGAATAATGGTGCAAACAAGGCAAAGGAAAAAATTAAATATCTAGTAATCTTTGGCTACTTTTTAAACGATCAGAGATCCATTTTTTTCTTATTTAAAGTACTTAAAAAGGTTATAAATACTTTGTCAAAATAAATATATTTTCAACAAACAAGCATGTATAATAAATCTGTGAGGAAGATAAGCCTCAATTATAATGTAGGATTTTTCAGTTTATCATTAACATTTCATTGTTTCAAGACAAGAATATAATAACTTAATAGTTTAATAAAAAATGTTAATCTATAAAAAGCAATTATTATTCTTAAAAAATGTAACAGGAAACGAGCAATGAGTATTTGAATAACAGTAAGGAAATAAGTCATTCACAAATGTACGAAAGACCGGTAGGGCATTTCAACTTCATTGAATTCCCATTTCATCTTGATGAATTCACAATTTTTAAACTTCGTGCAATTCCCGTTTTCAAAATACGGAATTCACGATTCAGCTTCATGAATTCACGACTTCAACTTCACGAATTCACGATTTCAACTTCACGAATTCACGATTTCAACTTCATGAATTCACGATTTCAACTTCATGAATTTACGATTTCAACTTCACGAATTCAACTTCGTGAATTCACAATTTCAACTTCATGAATTCACGATTTCAACTTCATGAATTCACGATTTCAACTTCACAAATTCATGATTTCAACTTCATGAATTCACGATTTCAACTTCACGAATTCAACTTCGTGAATTCATGATTTCGACTTCACGATTTCAACTTCACGAATTCAAGATTTCAAACTTCACGAATTCACGTTTCAACTTCATGAAGTTGAAATCGTGAATTCGTGAAGTTTGAAATCTTGAATTCATAAAGGTTGAAATCGTGAATTCTTGAAGTTGAAAATCGAGAATTCATGAAGCTGAAATTCAGGAATTCATGAAGTTGAAATGTCCCCCAACGGTCTTTCGTACAAACGGTTTCACTTTTCCCTAACTTGCGTTGCGGAAGAGGTCACTTAATAACCGAAGTATGAGTACTGTCATGTATTTTTCACTGAGATAATAAATACTAAATAGGATTACAATGACTTACTATCTGATCTAAGATTGAAATAGAAAAAATACATGTTTTCTTCAGTTGTTATAAATCTAATAATAAATCTGTCTCTGTCACTAATTTTAAGTGTAGTTCTTCTAAATCTGAAGTTTCCTTAAAAACAAATGAGTAAAAAAAGATGGACCACCTGTGTTCAGAAAGGACCACCTGAATTTTGGGTTCAGTGGTCCGGCATACCACCTGCTGAAAAAGTTAGTGTCGAGACCTGATATTTATATATAACATTATATGTTGCACATAATCTCAATTAATTTTTTTTCTGAAAATAAATTCGGGCGTTTTTCAAATTCTTAGCATATGGCATACATTGCAATTATCTGATTTTCTAAAAATTAACCTTCTTTGGCACCAGGGTCTTTCAAATAGAATTTGAAAGACCCTATTGGCACTACATGACCAGATGCTTTAGACACATTGTCTCACATTGTTACATAATTTCTTTCATGTCGTATTTTGTTTGATAAAATGACATGAAAGCATAAAAAAAAAAGAAGAAAAAAACAGAAATCGAATATAACCAATCAAATTGTAGTATGGTCTATTATTATCATGATAATTATTATGATATGATATTGATATGATAATGTATTATCTTACAGGGTTGCCTCTTGGATTCGAAGCACCAAACAGCCGACGGAAACCAATATATTGAAAGGATTTGTTGTTACTTTGTCTTGGTATATCATCTATAACTGGTTGACGCCGACACTACATGAACACAAGATTTTTTTTATCATTTGAGCCAAGCCATGACAAAACCAACAGTGCCTTTGCGACCAGCATGTTTCCAGACCAGCCTGCGCATCCGCGTAGTCGAATCAGGATCCATGCTGTTCGCTATTAGTTTCTCTACTTGTTTTTTAAGCTCACCTGTCACAAAGTGACAGGGTGAGCAAAAGATCGCTTTTCATCCGGCGTCCGTCCGTCCGTAATTTTACTTTAAATGACATCTCCTCATAAACCACTAAGCCAATTTCATCCAAACTTCACAGGAATGTTCCTTTGGTGGTCACCTTTAAAAATTGTTGAAAGAATTTAATTCCATGCAGAACTCTGGTTGCCATGGCAACCGAAAGAAAAAACTTTAAATATCTTCTTTTAAAAAACCATAAGAGCTAGAGCTTAGATATTTGGCATGAAACATCTCCTAGTGAGTGTCTACCAAGTTTGTTCAAATAAAAGCCCTGGGGTCAAAATTGGCCCCGCCCCGTGGGGTCATTGATTTTCCCTATATGCATATAGTAAAAACTTAAAAAACCTTCTTTTAAAGAACTCAAAGAGCTATAGCTAAGATATTGAGCATCAAACATGTTCTAATAGGTGTCTACCAAGTTTGTTCAAATAAAAGCCCTGGGGTCAAAATTTGCCCCGCCCCAGGGGGTCATTGATTTTCCCTATATGCATATAGTAAAAATAGTAAAAACTTAAAAAATCTTCTTTTAAAGAACCAAAAGAGTTAGATCTAAGATATTTAGCATGAAACATGTTCTAATAAGTGTCTACCAAGTTTCTTCAAATAAAAGCCCTGGGGTCAAAATTGGCCCCGCCCCGGGGGGTCATTGATTTTCCCTATATGCATATAGTAAAAACTTAAAAAATCTTCTTTTAAAGAACTCAAAGAGCTATGGCTAAGATATTTAGCATGAAACATGTTCTAATAAGTGTCTACCAAGTTTCTTCAAATAAAAGCCCTGGGGTCAAAATTGGCCCCGCCCCGGGGGGTCATTGATTTTCCCTATATGCATATAGTAAAAACTTAAAAAATCTTCTTTTAAAGAACTCAAAGAGCTATGGCTAAGATATTTAGCATCAAACATGTTCTAATAGGTGTCTACCAAGTTTGTTCAAATAAAAGCCCTGGGGTCAAAATTGGCACCGCCCCAGGGGTCATTGATTTTCCTTATATGTGTATAGCAAAAACTTAAAAAATCTTCATTGAAAAAAACCAAATAGCTAGAGTTAAGATATTAAGCATAAAACATCTTTAAGTGAGTGTCTACAAAGTTTGTTCAAATAAAAGACCTGGGGTCAAAATTGGCCCCGCCCCGGGGGTCATTGATTTTCTTTATATGTGTATAGCAAAAACTTAAAATCTTCTTTGAAAAAACCCAAATAGCTAGAGTTTAGATATTAAGCATGAAACATCTTCTAGTAAGTGTCTACAAAGTTTGTTCAAATAAAAGCCCTGAGGTCAAAACTGGCCCGGCCCCAGGGGTGTCATTGTTTTTAACTATATGTGTAAAGTAAAAACTTTTAAAAAAATCTTCTTTTAAAAAGCCCAATGAGCTAGAGCTTAGATGTTTAGCATGAAACATCTTCTTAAGGGTGTCTACCAAGTTTGTGCAAATAAAAGCCCTTGGGTTAAATTGGCCCTGCAATGTTGGGGGGGAAGGACCTATATACAGGTGAGCGACCTCAGGGCCATCATGGCCCTCTTGTTTTTTTTAAGGCCCTTTTATTTAAGAAAAAATAATACAATACAAGAATACAAACCATGATAACTTTAGCATTTTCATTGATATGTAGATAATTGAAAATAAATTTCTCTACTTGTTATAGGGTTTGTAAGCGAACAGCATGGATCCTGATCAGACTGTGCGGATGCGCTGGCTGGTCTGGATCCATGCCGGTCGCAAACCCATTATGTTGGTTTTGTCATGACGCGGCTCATATTCTGTCGGAGACAGTTTTGTATAATTTACGTATATGGTCACTAACTGAAGGGCATCACTAGCGTTTTTGCTAGATTTGTTATTTATATTGTCTTGTTCATTGTTGTAAATAGACATTAAAGGGACTCCACTAAGGTTTTTTAAAGTGACATGACTGGAAATATTTTCCCCAGTACCATTTGATGTAGGTCTTGGATCTTTCCCCCACCCCGTTTTTGCAGCATAATTATTTTTTATCACAAATTTGGCTAAGAAATGCATTAACTATCGATTTTTCAATTTTATTCTTAGTATATTTCTTTATTATCTTTGCAGATGCATTCCAATAAATACATTTCACTTGATCTATGTACAACATTCAAATTATATGTTTTTTGACCTCAGTGGAGCTCCTTTAGTAAACATATTTTCATGCTATATTTTTACTTTTTGTATGGCTGTATTATACTGTCGTTATTACTACATTTGTATTTATGTCTCTGCCTTGTTTGGAGATGTGGTTTAAAAATATTCTATAAAAACATACACATTTACCCTGAGAAACATGTTTTTTTTTTTATTAAATGAAACCATTTTAATATTTTTCACTGCTATGCATTATTACTTCCGAGAGCCTTCATTGATTTTTATCAGGGGAGAGAACTAGAACATTACGTTTTCTTAAGTCTATATAGATTACTCTCACCTGGGGAATATCGCAAATTTTTTTTTGACCAGGTGAGATATAGAAATAACGCCATGTCACGTACCACTGGACGATATACTATAGTACTTGTAAAAAGTTTACTCGAGGTATAGTAATTTATAATAATGCTTACGTGTTGAAAGTGGTCTCATTTATCATTATTTTTATTCAGGTTTTTAAAAATATTCATTGGAAATGTTTATTAAAACTTGACATTGATCTTCTAATTAAAACATTACATACAATATTTATGGAATTTTGTAATGACCAGATATACTGTTGCAGTGATAGTTGTCAATTAATTCCAATGTCTTTTTTCAAAGAACTGTGAACATTTCTTCAAACTCATCACAAGAGAAATGAGTTATGTCCCTTTTTATAATAAAAAAAATTCTCATAAAAAATCGAAGCCAATCAGTGTTTATTGAGATTATTTTTTCATTTAGGCTCAGACAGTTTTATCATTAAACGGATAAAAGAATAATATGTAATTAAATCTCAACTTTCGTGATTCTGGAAGATCATCTTGTTTGAGTTGTATGAAACTGTAAATTGAAGTAATATATTTTCATAATTTTTTTTTAACTACAGAACATAGAAAGGTGAAATCACATTTATCTCACTGGATTAAAAAAGAAATTCCTTGTTTGAAGATTCTGTAGCATTAGAAGAATATTGCAATTTTTGTTATTCACATGATATTGAAGATGAATATCATTTTATGCTTATTGCTATAGTTGTGTTTCAGTTTATACAAGTTTTTACTGTAGACGTGTTGGAACTGGAAACACCCCCAGCGTTTTTCACTCAAATTCGGCCAAGAATTGCACAGACATTCCATTTTCAATAGTACTTTGCAGAGTTTACCACTTCATACGTTTTTAAGATTTTCAAATTTTATGTTTTTAGGCCTTTGGACCTCAGTAGTCCCTTTAAGAAAAAGAAATTTACTTCCTTCTCAAGTTGTTATATTGAATATGTTTTTATAATATGTGGTATATTGTTTGTTAGAAGTCGTTAATAAACTGTTTTGTTTTGATAGTCTTTGTTTTATGGTCTGAAAGATTCCTCTTTATGATCCGTATGATACTAAACGACCCCCAGGTGCACCATTCACAAAACTTTTATAGAGGTTAAATAGACAATTCTAACACTCACGTGATTTTGTCACTATAGACAAAGAAGGAAAAAAAACTGGTGTTAAAATGCCAATAAACACCGGTTAGGGACTACTTGTATATGCGCTGTTATGTTTTCACCCTCGATTGTATAGTTTAAGCAACAATAAATAGCATTTTTATTTATATTTTCGGTTCGTATAATGTTTTTCTTTTCATACAATACCGAAATAATATCTCACATACACTAACGCCACATATTCGATCCACATCAGTTTATAAATATTTTGCCAAAACGGCGCCAATCCGTAAGCAGCGTAATGACGTCATCGTAAGTAAACAACTCATTCATAAACAAACTGACGTTATTTCATACAGACAAGAAAGATAAATGGGGCACTGATGTAAACACAATACGACATTAAGTTTTTATTGTTGAAAAGTTGATAAAATAATGTTTTTTTTCCTTATTATTTCTTTTGTTTAATAATTTCTATATCTTTGCAACAGTAGGGTGCGAAAATCGAACAGCGTTATACCAAAATCGGCACCGGAAGTTATTTCCACTTGAAAAATAACATTAGTGATTTTCCTTTATATTTCATCGTGTTAGAATCAAAATAACACTGGCCTGAGAGGTGTATGTCGGCTATTTAACACCGGTTTTGTCGTTTTGATGCGACAAAATTAACCACTCAGGCCTAAGGCCTTCGTGGTCAATTCCTACGCATCAAAACTCCAAACGGTGTTAAATAGCCGCTATACACCTCTCAGGCCGATGTTATTTCTTAAGTGTATTCCTATACAATATTACATAAATCGAGAGAGCCCCTGGGAAATGTATTCCTATACAAGATTAAATAAATCGAGAGAGCCCCTGGGCCAATTTTGATTCCAGGATGCTAAAACATGATCTCTGCACAAATAATATTCTGCCAAATAGTTTTCATTTTCTTTTATCTATATAAAAGTTACATAGCAGACACGAAATTTTGAAATTTATACCAAGACTGAAGCTGACCTTGACCTGAAGGTCAATTATTAACAATTCTGCAAGTTCCATCAGTTATAAGGATACAGAGCGGACACAAAATTACAAACAGATGGATGGATGACCAGGTGCAAAACAATATACACCAAATTTTCCCCCAAAGCATAAAAAATGCAGTAATACACTTGTCTTCAAATTCCTTATAAAACATAACACTTCTGTTCTCTTCAAGCCGGTTTATTTGATGTAATTTACAAAGTAATAACAGTTTATTTTCCAGGAAGAATGATACCATCATACTGAAAGAGAGAAAAAATCGTTTTTATAATAATGAAATGGAGAAAAATTTAATTTCATTTTTTAAGTGTCAAGATGAAATATCAAAACAAGTAAATTGTCACAAAATCAGCTTTTTCACCAATATTCCATTTGTGAATAACAAAGGGCCGTAATTTTGTAAAAAAATATTATATATAAATATGACAATAAAGTAATATAAAAGGTCCTCAATAATCATTTTGCGAGTTTGTAAAATTAGTGTGCGAAAAAAGAAAGGGAAAGATTATGCTGTGCCTCATTCATATTGAGACCCACCAATCTTAAAACCCAATGTTTCCTTTATAAGTTGGTTATTAAGATATTTTAGTGTTTTTCCGTGCTTGTTGTTGGAAGGTGGCAAAGCCTACCCCTCAAGAACCATTTCACACAAAATGCAGGTCAGTACAAAAGATGTGTTCACATCAACCAATTATTTGCATTGTACATTTTTCTTTTTGTCCTTTCATCATCAGAATTGTAATTGTGCATTTTAGTCAAGCATACAAGTTACTCCATATACAAAATGTCTAATAGACTAAGATGTCAGCTGACAAGTTGCAAGCAATTCTTTCAAGAAAAGTACAAACATATACTTTCAACATTACCTTCTGTTGGAACCACTTCATGGACTGTTCTTTTGTTACTCTGTGTTTAATACCAACTTTGCTGTGTCTTTTTCTTCTTTGTGAGATATTGAATCCTGTAAAAGAATGTACAAACGCATCATTGTTTATCTTACAAAGTTTTAACAAGATTAAGTTGTTCTTTATTTTGTTGGTTTTTTATGTTCACCAATTCAGTATAGGTAAAATGGCGACACTCCACCTTAACTGGTGAAGGAAGATCTCAGGTGCCCCTTCTGTGCATCATTTCAGGCACAAGCAGGCGTCTGTGTAGAACCACAGATGTTCCGTAAGCTAGCTTAACAGCTTTCTAACATGGACAGAATTAAAGATGCTGGCACAGCTTAAACCTACTGTTGATGGAATAAAATTTCATCTTTATATCCCTAAAATTTGTAATTGGACAGTTCCAAAATTGAGTTGGAAAAGTCCATTTCAGAAAATCCAGAGGTTAAAGATTCAATGACTCGAGACAGTGTCTTCACTGGTCTTGTGCATGTTACATAAATTTTGGAACTTGAAATGTCTTACACAGGACCAGTCTTATAGATATTATAAGCCTATGAAGTGAATGCATGGGTACAGTTAGCCCTGATTGCAATGAAATTATGACTTACTTTGCGTAAATAACAACCCATGCAACCTACAAAACATTTTGTTGATAGCTTACAGGCAGACTTTTAATGGTTTTTTGGAATGTATTTGGTGAAATGGAAAATTTACAGATTCTTTTCCTTACAAACTCTAATTATATATACACATACAATAAAAACAAAAAACGCAAAAAAACAACAACGTCATACCTGGGCGACCTAAAACAACATAGAAATCCATTCCGTAGATTCCAATTCCTGGGTCGTATTTAATTCCCAAATCAATGTGTTCCTGAATTCCAAAGCCAAAGTTTCCAGATTCTGAGAAGTTGTTTTTTCTCAATTCGTATTCACGTACCTAAATAATATTAAAAGTCAATCTTGTAATTGTTTGTATTAAGTTAACGACACATGAGGGAAACATCAAAAACATAGTGGTGCATTGATATAACTGGAAATAATATTCGTTGATTTCAAGAATGAATGCTAGATTTAAAGCCTATTGCTGAAATGTCTTGGGTATAAAGACATGTCAAGTCTAACAAGAAAATCATGTTATAAAAACGGCTTGAACTTCAAATTGGTTGTTTTTTTGTTTTTAAAAAAAATATATTATATATAAAGTATTGAAACCATTAAGGTGACACAAGACTATCCAGAAGATTTCAGGTGCCTCTCCTTGTATTATTTAAGGCACAACACAGTACAGGTCATACGACCGCATTTACTGGTGGAGGGAGAACTTGGGTACACTTCCGTGCATTATTTCAGGCACCCAAGTAGAACCAGAGAAGTGTCATAAGCTAGCTGGATAGCTCCCTCACATAAAAGAATCCTAGTCCTTGTCGGAATTCAAACCCTCAACAATGGGGGCAAGTGGTCTGAAGTCTGCGATTTAGACCACTCGTCCACATTCCCCAATAAAGTAGCTGGATAGTATCCTAACATTCATGAAAGAATCCAAATTAAAACCCACAGTGGTGGTGAGGGGCTAGTGGGTTTCATACCTGAACACACACTGAAATCTGGCTTATAAAGTAGCATACCTTCAAACCTCTCTCCAGAATCTCCTCGGCCTTGGCCCCTCGTACAGTACAATGCACAGCAATTTTCTCATTTCTTCGGATACCAAATGATCTCACAGTGTAACGGGCTACAATGTTCAAATTCAAATATATATAAATATATACTAGTGATATAGAAACACGTTCATGGGTTACAGGGTACATTTCATTTCCCACTTTACATTTTTTTTCCCAGTCTTGGTCCTGGGTCACTTGTGAAAATTAGCCCTGTAATTCCAACATTTGTGGATACACTACAGTCCTGTTTTATACTGTTACATTAATTTAGCTACTAAATGGGGAAAAGAAATTTATATCACATGTTGGAAAATGCCCTGATATGATAAAAACTTCTTAATAAGTCCCATAGTTTAATTTGTTTAAGTCATTGACAATTTTGTGAATAAATACAATTTCACAACAGTAAATATTTATTTAATAGAAAACAAGATACCCTTTAGATTTGTCAATGACCTCCTATTTCTGCTCCAAAACTGCATGAAATTATACACATATATTTCGATGATAAGAATTATCTCAAACAAGATGAACAAAAATGTTTTACCTTTTGAGAAGACAGGGGTCTGACCAGTAAGCTGTTCAAGCACCTTTGCAGCACGGGTCAATCTATCGCCGGACTCTCCTACACAGATGTTAAGACAAAGTTTAACAATACGCAACTCTCGCATGGGGTTCTTCTCCTTATCTTTGTCCTTCGAGTCCTGAAAATAAAGAACACCACATTCAAAATTTCAATCAACACAATATTTCTGCCTGATAAACATTGTACATGTGTATATATGTATGAATATATCTGATGAAAGCAATCCAACATTGGATGCCACCAGGAATATTCCTTTTCAAGTTTGGTAAAAACTGGTCTTATTGGTAGGAAGATAATCTAAAAAGATATCACTGTTAAAACAGACTCAGTCACTGGGTAGACGAAGTACAATTTTTATAGGATAACAACAAAATAAGGCCATCCTTAAAAAAATGTTTGTTTGCAGTAACCCGACCAAGAATTTTCAAGGTGGGTAGGTAGGTCGATTTTTTTTTTTTTATGGAACTGTACTCCCAAATAAACATGGAATTTCAAAATGCTTAACAATATATGCTTTGATTATCTGGTAACAATTAATAAATTGATAAGGCCATTATTTTTTGATATTTCGGTTTACAGACCCGCCGACTCTGTATTTTGGGAAAATGAAAAAAAAAAAATCTGCCCCCCCAAAAATTCTGTGTTGTCTTGAAATACGCTGCTAATAATACGACTTGTCAAAGAAATGTCGAGGTAAGTATTTTAATTAACTGTTAAACCTACCACATGCCAGACTATTTTACCTACGATTTATACAGAGAGATACGCAACCGGTTATCTTTACTCGAGAATAGCCTGTCGTCTGCTAGTTGGGCAAAGTGTTTATTGGTGTATTATGAAAGAATGTTTGTTAAATGGGGTCAAGCCATTCTAACAGAATTATAATTAGGCTTTGATCATATTTCATCAATGCATTGAAGGTCGAAATGCGTAAAAATGTAAAACAACCAAACAAAAAAAAAACACGCCAAATTACGTATTAAGCTATTACATTCAAGGACAGAGCGAGAGAAATCTGCTGCAATTGACAAGATCAGTATTTTCAGATTTAACAAAAAAAATTAGTCTTTAAAAGCACATTGAATACAGGTTTCAAACAAACAAAATAAAAAAAATGCCCGCACTTACTTTTAATAGATTTTTATGTCAAAAATTGACCAGCTAATTATCCGATAAAAATATTTTCATAATGGGCAAAATTGAACATGACTTTGTGTAATCTTTTCTTGACACTTTTTTTAACATCTGACCTATAAAGAAATGAGTGCAAGTCAGCTGATTTTCGGCACCTTTGATGATTCAGATTACACAGCAGTGTGTAAACATCAAAGAATGACAGATTCTTTTGAAGAGCTCACTTGCCACTTGTCATAAGTCATCGTGTGTAGATTTCATGTGTGTTTTTAAACAATGGCAATGTGAGCAAAAGGTTTTTTGTGTATTTAAATAATCTTTGGAATAGACAATCGGCGATGTATTTAATTTCATTGCTCTAGTAAGTACTATGTATATGTATGCACCACATTTATAGTTATGAAAACTTTTTTTTTTTTTTTTCCCGCTGCCGACCCTACCTTTTTTTGGAAAAAATCAGTAAACCAAAATATAAAAAAAAATTGGCCTAACTGAATTCTAATTTAATAAGACCTACATTTTATTTCTTCCATTAACCTTTAAAAGAACGAAAACAAAGCACAAGACATAATTTTCTGATTCAAAAAAAAAAATTTTTTTTATCCAGACCATGAAAAAAAATTTTGAGTAGGGGCAAATTTTGTGAGTCGGTCGGGTTACTGCAAACAAACATTTTTTTAAGGATGGCCTAACATCCATCCAGCAGGTTTTTAAAAAATACATTCATGATTGTACCACTCAAAGTAACTGAACACAGCAAAATGCCAAGCCAGAGTTGCATCATGGATTTTCTTTTGCACATTATTATATTACAGGAAAAAATAGCATGTAACTGCCCTTTCCAATGCCAAATGTGCATAAATAATCAAGTAAATAATAATTAATCAGCCAGAAATCTTTGAATTCATGATTTTATTTTACTTAGTCTTGTACCACTCAAAGTAACTGAACAAAGCAAAATGCGAAGCCAGAGTTGCATCATGGATTTCCTATTGCACATTATCATAATAGAAGAAAAGGCAGCAAAGCTGACCTTTCTATTGCCAAATGTGCTAAGGCCCTTTTTCCCAAATATATTCCCAATTTTTACAATTTACAATGATTTCCCACACAACCCCACCACTTTAAACACTGTTGATGGCAATCCCAAAATGTTTCCAAGTTTTAGACAGATACAAATATGCGACTCTCACTGCAGGGCAGGATCTGTTTTCATGTTTACTAGGTAGGTAAGGGGAGGAGAAACAAACATTTATTTTATTTCATATAAATATATATATATTTAATTTCTGTACCACTCAAAGTAACTGAACAAAACAAAATGCTAAGCCAGAGTTGCATCATGGATTTCCTATTGCACATTATCATAATAGAACTAAGAAGAAAAGGCAGCAAAGCTGAACTTTCTATTGCCAAATGTGCTAAGGCCTTATTACCCTGCTATATACTAGAAGAAACTACTGGTAATTAAGAGGCATCATGCTTTTTCTCCCAAACTGAGAAGCATAAAATTACTAATGGTAAGTCTGCATTAATGCTGTTGATGAATTTCTTTGAAATAGCATTGTACATTAAAAGGGAAGCCTTTGAAATTATTTATACATAGAGGATATTGAATGAGTGTAGTTAAATACTAAATTTATTGAACGAGTTGAATAAAATCATATTATGCGAGCCTCTGGCGAGCATAATATTGTTTTATTCAACATGTTCAATAAATTTAGTATTGAATCTACACGAATATAATATTCTATTTATCACATATATAAAATAAGAATAGTGAACTGTTAAAATGAGTAATTTTTCAATGACGCGCCCATAGTGCAACGCTAACATTAGTGTGCTTTTACGCTATGTTTCTATATAACGCAAATGACGGCACGTCAAAGTGTAATTACAGTAGTGTAATATCGTTTTTATTAAATGGCTTTATTAGACTATATGCGCCGCGGTTTATGTGATAAAATAAAATATGAATATGCTGTAAGAAAATATGGGTAGGTAGTGGGAGAGGAAACAAACAATATTTTACTTTTGGCCTTACTATAGATTTAAGTTTTGTACCACTCAAAGTAACTGAACAAAGCAAAATGCTTAGCCAGAGTTGTTAAGAAAATATGGGTAGGTAGTGGGAGAGGAAACAAACAATATTTTACTTTTGGCCTTATCGATAGATTTAAGTTTTGTACCACTCAAAGTAACTGAACAAAGCAAAATGCTTAGCCAGAGTTGCATCATGGATTTCCTATTGCACATCATCTTATTGTCAGAAAAGAAAGCATGAAACTGTCCTTTCCATTGCCAAATGTGCATAAATTATCAAATTGCTATTTAAAACTTTACTTTCATCAATTTTAATACAATTCTCACAAAAGATCAAATTTTCAGCATCTTAATGTAGCCCTTTCTTTGTTCAATGGTGGAAAAGTGTTGACAATGCCTCAATAGAATTGTTTTATTTAAAACAGCTCTTATTTGCACCACTATGTAGAGTTAGGCATGACAGGTCAACCAATTATCTGTGGCAGTGCCCAATAATATATTAAAGTATTTCTCAATATAAGCCCAGACTTCCCGAAATACATCTGTCCAACGGACATGTCTGATAAATTTTGATCAGGTCCGACGATTTTTTATTCCGGATCGGTCCGACTTTTATCCAAGCTGCATGTAGAACAGCAATAAAAGGATAAAAAGAATAGACCCCCCCCCCCCCCCGAGACAAAATTTAATGAAAAATGGAAGCAGTACCGTGAATCGTTGGTGTATGACAGGGAGGAGATGAAAATGCGCTGTACGGAATGTGCCCATTTTTACGGCGAAAAAAAAAAAAAACAACCAAAAAGTGTCTTAGAAATGCAAACACAAGTTTTTCTTTGATTTTGATTAGGGATGGCAACGAGTAACCGGTTAACCGAGTACTCGATCGAACGTCCGAATATCGGTTAACACAAGAGCGATCAGTAAATCACATGTGTCGCCTCATGATGGCCAATTTCATGTTGGGACAAATTTTGTGACAGACGGACAGACAGACGGACAGTGCACAACTACACTAACCACTTTGTACTGATCATTCCTGTAAAGTTTGGATAAAATTGCACCAGTAGTTTATTAGGAGTAGTCGGACAAGCTTTGCGTATCTGGCAACACACAGAAAAAAAAACCTTTTTATCAAAGGGCCATAACTCGGCCAAAAATCATTCAACCGGAAAACCCGTGCAATATGCGCAAGGACTTGAGCTACAGATCAATCCTGTAAAGTTTCATTGAAATTGCATAAGTGGTATAAGAGAAGTAGTCTGGACAAACTTTAAAAATAAAAATTATTAAAGGGCCATAACTCAAACAAAAATCATTGAACCGGAAAATGCTGACAATATGCACAACTAGACTTGGTACTGATCATTCCTGTAAAGTTTGGATGAAATTGCACCAGTAGTTTATGAGGAGTAGTCCGGACAAGCTCTTGTGTATCTGGCAACACACAGAAAAAGAAACCTTTTTATCAAAGGGCCATAACTCGGCCAAAAGTCATTCAACCGGAAAACCCGTGCAATATGCGCAAGGACTTGAGCTACAGATCAATCCTGTAAAGTTTCATTGAAATTGCATTAGTGGTATAAGAGAATTAGTCCGGACAAACTTTAAAATTAAAAATTATTAAAGGGCCATAACTCTGACAAAAATCATTGAACCGGAAAATCCTGACAATATGCACAACTAGACTTGGTACTGATCATTCCTGTAAAGTTTGGATGAAATTGCACCAGTAGTTTATGAGGAGTAGTCCGGACAAGTTTTGTGACGGACGGACGGACAGACAGACAGACAGACGGACAGACGGACAGACAGACGACGGAGAAGTGATCCCTATATGTCGCCACTACTCCGTAGAGGCGACACAAAAATTGATATTCGATTACTCGGAAAAATGTATAATTTCTATTTTATTTGCTATTTAGGCAGTTTGGTGTATCCAATTAGTTCAGAAATTCGGAGATGTGCATATAACTTCATAAATACCTGTTAAATGCAATCACAACTTCCTTGCAGAGGTGCGAAAATGATACCATAAATTTAATGAGGCGATCAACAGTTTGACACGCGCACATGTGTCGCTTACGTCTTCCGGCCTCTTATGATTAATTGTGTAACACATTGCAGTTTGTACCCGAATCTTGTTTTAAGGTAACAATTTTGAAAACAACAAATTAAGGGCCGTATTGCTATTATGATATAATAATTAAGGTAGTATTTAGACCCAGTTTAACTTTTGTTGCCGCCGATCAGTCTATTTTATTACAAGAAGAAACAAATGTTTCAACTGTTAAACAATTGTTTTAAACTTGATATTCATTAACTAAAATGTTCTAAAATATAATGTCGTTGATTAAATTTTAATTAATTTGTCTCATTCTATGAATGTAAATAGAAAACAAAAGTAGCATGCGGACGGTGATAAACTTTGAAGATCATTGGAAATCGTCCGAGTAACCGAGTACTCGATCGGAAAAATGATCGAGTACTCGAGTATTGATTTTGGTATTCGTTGCCATCCCTAATTTTGATCAATTTATTTGGTCTGACAGATTTTGTTTCGGTCCGACAGATTTTCATGGTTTGTCAAACCCAAAGTCCGACACTTTTTTCAACTTTCAGGAAGTCTGTAAGCCAAAATCTACGCCAGATGAATTTACTCGCCCAAAATAATTTTTTAAAGAAACTAACAAAACTAAAATTGTTAAGAAATGAGTTGCTGAGAAGACTGATTTATCTTCCAATTTATGATTTTGTCTATTAGTTTAGGAAAGCAAGTGCATAGGTACCTACATACATGTAAGTCTATTCATAGTTTCAATTTCAAAACAGATCTCGGTAAACCAGTATAACAACTTTGAGGCAAAAATGATGCAAGTTGACTCATTGGTAATACAACAGCCAGAAATCTTGGGATAAAAATTTTCACTTTATGATTTATAAACTTAGTCTTGTACCACTCAAAGTAACTGAACAAAGCAAAATGCTAAGCCAGAGTTGCATCATGGATTTTTTATTGCACAATATAAATAAAGACAGCAAACCAAAGCAGTCTCTAAATTTGCCTATGTGCTTTAATTTAAATGGACAAATACTATTTCAAGACTATGAATGTTTTTTCGCCTTCTCATTGATGATCTCTGCTAAATGACTATTTATGATTAACTGATTTATGATTTAAAAAAAAAGCAGATTAACTATTTTAAAAAGCAAAATATCGAAGACACAAGTCAGTGATTTAAAATGTAAAACATTATTAAGTATTATAAAGAGAGATTTGTACTCTTGATTTCATCATTTTTCACAATTCCATTGTTGCATTGGAATTTAAATAACCAAAATTTTGGAAAGGAATTTTCTGTTTTCCAAAGGTGGAAAATGCAGTCTTCCTGTCCACAGGTAAACGTTGCGTGGCCATGACTTACACTATACCCCCGTTCCCCCTCTACAACCCAAAACCCTAAACAAAAATTATGAAAAAAAATAAAAATTTTTATGACTAAAATATTATAAAGGTATTTTACTCTACTTTCATTTTGCATAGAAATATCACTAGCATCTCAATTATCAGCGCATATATTCATCAATTTTTCACCAATCTTAATAATCTTGGTCTCAAATCTTAGATAAATAAATACTCTTTAAGAAAACAACACTGGCATTTTCGCTGATTATACGTAGCAAGAAATATCCAAGCCCAAACTGTCAACAAATGAAACTCGGAAGAGATCTGATTGCACCGTTTCGGTAAAACTCTCACGAGTAAAACACACTAAATTCACCGTGAAAGAATATTTCTTTGTATTGCGTATTTAAATATGATAAAATTAAGTTATTATTTATAATAACTGTTCAATCAAAGCATCTTATGAAACTATAACGCACCTTTTTTCCTATATGTCAAATTCTCATTCCAAAATGAAAGTAAAATGGGCCTGCAGATTGTTTTCAAATGGAGTATTTTCATTGGTCACAGGAAAACCTCGGACCAATGAAAATACTTAAAGGGAAACAACTCTGCTGTGCCAATTTACTTTCATTTTGAATTGAGAATTTGACATATAGGAAAAAAGGTGCGTTATAGTTTCATATGATGCTTTGATTGAACAATTATTACAAATAATAACTTAATTTTACCATATTTAAATACGCAATACAAAGAAATATTCTTTTACGGTGAATTTAGTGTGTTTTACTCGTGAGAGTTTTACCGAAACGGTGCAATCAGATCTCTTCCGAGTTTCATTTGTTGACAGTTTGGGCTTGGATATTTCTTGCTACGTATAATCAGCGAAAATGCCAGTGTTGTTTTCTTAAAGAGTATTTATTTATCTAAGATTTGAGACCAAGATTATTAAGATTGGTGAAAAATTGATGAATATATGCGCTGATAATTGAGATGCTAGTGATATTTCTATGCAAAATGAAAGTAGAGTAAAATACCTTTATAATATTTTAGTCATAAAAAAAAAATTTTTTGTTCATAATTTTTTTTTAGGGTTTTGGGTTGTAGAGGGGGAACGGGGGTATAGTGTAAGTCATGGCCACGCAACGTTTACCTGTGTTCCTGTCAGGAGTAGAAACTTCAACAATAACGAAATGGTATATATTTCTGTGTTTCCGAGTCACTTTTTGACACCGACAGTTCAGTGATTTTCCTACTTATATAACAGACTCTGAAAAAAGGCCTCTTCCCAATTGAAATTTTCTTTAAAATCATGCAGTTTTCCCAAAAGTCTGAACTTAAACGAGCTTTTTTACTTCCCAAATCAGCAATTTTAGCAATATTTTTTCCCAAAATCAAGAGGCTTAGGCCTCTTCCCAATTAAGTGAGAAAAAACACTGCAGTTAATCAACCAATTTTATTTTATAAATGTCACAGGGTGAGCAAAATTTGCAGCCAGACTGGGATCGAACCTGGGACCTTCGGAATACCCTTCCGCGGCTCTACCGACTAAGCTATCTGGCCGCTTACACATCTTCTCCCCTAAATAGTGAACGGTTCTGAACCATGACATACTCACCTGTTACATTGAAATTCGTCCTCGAATTTCACAGAGTTAGAGAGCAATGACATTATGTAAATTTTTACTCTAGCTATTTCAGCCACAGCCCCCCTTTGGGGGCCAAATGTCACAGGGTGAGAAAAATGTGCAGCCTGACCGGGACTTGAACCCGGGACTCTCGGAACGGCTCTACCGACTGAGCTATCCGGCCGCTCACACATCTCCCCTATGCTAAGTAGTGAACAGTTCCGGACCATGACATAATATATCTATATAAGATGGTGTTTATTCAAGATAGCCACCTGGGCTTATCAGATCATAGCTATTTGTCCCCATGTCCCATAGGCTTTGCTTTCTCTTACAAATTATTTTTATTATGACTATTGCTTATAAACATCGTAAATATATTCTTGAAAAAACTTGATTATTTGGACAAGAGTGCAAGACATTCATCAAACTATGAAAGACATATGCATGCATGGCCTTAACACAGCGCTTTCTTTCGGATCATTACTTGACATGTCATCTAAAGAAACAATCTATTTAGCAGTGTTATTAAATATCAATTTCTTGAAAAAATAATGTTTAACTGCTCAATATGAAAGGACGGTGTTTTACTGTAAACCTTTAACAAACTTAAAACGTTACTGACAACGTTAAACTCCTTCTACTTCACTCGATTAACATAGATATACAAGCACTAAAAGTATTACCCACCGCCATGTTTAGAAGTAACCGGAAAAGGAAATACACACATCAAAATGTTCCAAATATCAGTCACGTGATTAATGGTTTACACTTAGCAACAGAATTAATATCAACAACTTTCTGCAAAATGAGTTCAAGTGGCGAAGAAGAGGAAATTGGACCAAGTGTTGATTCAAATGATCCTGAAGAAAGAATTGCCGCAAGACGGATTCGTATTCAGAAGCGTGTTGAAGCAGCAAGGAGGTAAATTATCAAAATTTATTCATTTCACACACATGAAATTTTGCCTATTGGAATGACTTTTTCGTTTTACTGATTTTACTTTAACTACTAAAGTATTATTTTATATGTATGATGAATTCTTTTTACATCTTCATTTACCCATTATACACTGACAACTTATTTAAACATTTATCTATGGTAGATCATATCAGTTTCTTACCCTGTCCAGTTATTAAAGGGACTTAATTTGTTTCCAGATTTTTACTTCAAAACAGCAGGTGTCAGGTGCCGTGTGGCAGCTGTAAAAAGTTGCCCCATACTTCACTTAATGTTGTTATATTTTTCTGGTCCTTCCGGATCATTGATGCCAGCACTATTGTTAATTTATCTGTATTTATTGGACTTCAGTGGAGTTCCTTTAACCCAAAATTATTGGACGCAAAATGTCTGGTTACATTTGTATGTTGAAGTTTTTCTTTCAGAATGTCTGAAATCACAATTCATAAAGTCTTAAGCCCAAGGATTCTGATTTCATGCAACTTGGGGTTTTTATTAATTAAAGCAACCTTGGCTAAATTGTCACATAAGTGGAGTGTGTTGTAATTGATTAAAGATAACCAAATTAATAAGTCCTCTAGCTGTAATATATAAATTTGAAAATAAGATTTTATATTGAATATTAATAATTACTCTATTCACTTTCTAGGGCTGCATTAGGTGAGGATCCAAATGAGAAAAAGGAAATCAAAGAAGAGCTAAGCAAGAGTCGTAAACAGATTGAGGAAAGTCGTCTCCGTCTGACAAAATTAAAACAGGATGGCTTCGAGTTGGTTACAAACATACGTGTGGCAGGGGATGCTAGAGAGGCAATGCGTAGGAATGAGGAGGAAGATGCTAAGAGACTCCGGTAATTTTTTTTGGTTATATTTTCTTAGCCCTTAAACCTGCTGAACTTCTTAATTTTCTTGGATATTTCGGGTACCAGTTTGGAATAGTCCATTATCAATTGTAGGGATATTAAGATATAAATTTAGAGTTTAGGTAAGCCTGGTCTGACTATATGGAATTGCAGGCTGGCCTGGCTCTGTTGGCTCTTTACTGGTTTTTGTTTAGCTAGACTATGGAGAAAATGGTAGAGCTACTGTGCTCACACAGGTGTTGGCGTAAAATCAGCTGTCAAACTTTGGTTAAGATATTTGCTTGCAAATTGGTATCTTATACAAGTAACTCCTATAACTAAGAGTTACCTATTTAAGAGAGTTATTGTGGCCATTTTAATACTGACGGCTCTTGTTCTGTTTAAAATGGATTTCTGGATTTCTTATAAGTTATATGTCAGGAATTGGATTTTTAAAAATAAACAAACTTTTGGTTAAAATCATTTAAAGAATGAAACTTCAGGTTTGGGTTCCCTTTCTTTTCTTAAACTAAAACCTTTATTACTGAGCTGAGACATATGTTTATAGAAAATATGATGTGAACCAATACTGTACATGTACTTTTATGATTGTTTTGCAGGAAGGAAAGATTGGAGCAGGAAGCTAAATCCGGGGCAGACAGATTCGAGGAGGTAATTTAGATAGTGAATACAGTGTATAAATATAACATGTTCATTGAAATATTCCACATTTTCCTGGACTAGCATTTTCCCCCAAATCTGACATATGTAAACAGCGTTCAGCAGATTTGTATATAGCTTGTGTGGTTACTTGGAAGTATCCAATATCATATAAAGTCTTTTTATTCTACAGTCAAACCTGTATAAAAGTCTACCATTAAATAAATGCCATTTTCAAAAAACCCTTTATTAATTACATAAAAACAGAGTAACCTTCAAATATAGAAAGACCATGTTTGCTCTCTCCTATTTGTGGTCTTTGTTCGCAGGCTTGATTGTATATGATAATTATAACATCATAAATTGGCAAGTAAATGTTGAGTTTTAAGTGTTACTATGTATTCCAGAATAATTTATATTAAAACTTCTTTGTTTAACTAGAAATTAATGTAAAACATGTAGAAATTATGTATTTATTTCTTGTTAGATTTTCAGATGATAAGAATTTGTTTTGTGTTATGTATTGAGCAATTTTTTTTTTGTATCTTCAAGATAACAAAAAGATGGGAGTCAGCATTACAGAAGGAAATTCCACAATCTTTGCACGAGGTCAGTGAAACATTTTTACTCTCATTCTACTACATACGTAAAGTATACATTATGAGTTTCTGAACATTTGGCATGGTATACATTGCTGGTATACATTGTGGGCTCTTCCAACCACCCCCACCTAAAATTATTGAAGTTTGATAAAAATTGACTGTAGTTCATGTTGCAGGGATTTTTATATTTCATTGATAAATAAGAGAGAGAGATTATTGTCATTTAGGGTAACAATAATGTACTTGCCAAATACTAGATTGATTGGTTAGCTTGTGTTTTCATTTGGTAAAATGCTGTACCATGTCACTTGTATCTTTTATATTATTTTTTTTGCATATGCTGTAACAATTTTGTTGCTTGCTGAAATAATTGTGGTTGATTTTTAAACCCAGAAATATATGTATTCTCCATAGTTTGCTTTTAAAGATGTTAGAGGATGTGAAAAAAAAAATAACTTAAAATGTTATGACCAGTGTATGGTTAACACATCAGACTTAAGTAATCTGAGGATTTCTGGCTGCAAGGGTTCAAACCCGCCAGGGGCAAGCCGTTGTTTCCTTGAACAAGAAACTTTACATTTTATTGCTTAGTACTAGTTGGTTCCAGAAAGTTCAGGCAGAAATGGATTCAAGAGTGTTTCAATAAGCTTATAGCTTCCAACACAAATTAAAATAAAAAAGTTTACATTAAATTTTTATGAAATTGTTATGAGTGGAAATTAACAGTTTTGTTTTAAAAAGAAAATATTACATATTACTTTATAGATGTTGATGCAGCAGAAGACTTCATGTGATGGTATGATAGATGAGAAAAATAAACTTATAAATGATTTCCAACAGGTATGTTTAAACAATATTCTTTATATGTTCTCTATAAATAAACTCCGAAATTAAGAATATGTGTTTTTTCCCAGCTAATTCTTAGGTACAAACAAAGATAAACTCCAATTAAGAATATTTGGGTTTTTCCCAGGTAATCCGTAGGTATGTGAAACAAAGATAAAATCCATTTAAGAATACATAGGTTCAAACAAACTTTTACAGTACAGCTTCAAAAATAAGCGCAACAGGATGAAAAATCTATTGTGGCGGGTTACGTGCACCGTTAAGCTATAACGGTAAAAGTTTTGTTTGTACCTACGAATTAGCTTTGAAAAACTAGGGGTGTCATCGATAAGGATTTTTAACCAGGTTTTCAACGAAAACCGGGTTATTGTAATGCCGAAGTCGGCGGGCGGGCGGGCGGTCGTCAACTTTTGGTTTCCGCTCAATAACTTTAGTTTGCTTTGGCCTATTGACACCAAAATTGGTGTATGGATAGCTTATATCAAGAGGCAACTTGGGATTGCTACGCATGTGTCTGTGATTAATGTCAAGAACACTGTTGCTGAAAAAAAAGAGAAAAATTCAGTTTTCGCTCAATAACTTTAGTTTGCTTAGAACTATTAACACAAAACTTTGTGTATGGATAGCTTATATCAAGAGGCAGCTTAGGAGTGCTACCCAGGTGTCTGTGATTAAGGTCAAGGTCACTGTTACTAAAAATAGAAATTCAGTTTCCGCTCAATAACTTGAGTTTGCTTTGGCCTATTGACACCAAACTTGGTGTATGGATAGCTTATATCAAGAGGCAGCTTGGGATTGCTACCCAGCTGTCTGTGATCAAGGTCAAGGTCACTGTTACTAAAAATAGAAATTCAGTTTCCGCTCAATAACTTGAGTTTGCTTTGGCCTATTGACACCAAACTTGGTGTATGGATAGCTTATATCAAGAGGCAGCTTGGGATTGCTACCCAGGTGTCTGTGATCAAGGTCAAGGTCACTGTTACTAAAAATAGAAATTCAGTTTCCGCTCAATAACTTGAGTTTGCTTTGGCCTATTGACACCAAACTTGGTGTATGGATAGCTTATATCAAGAGGCAGCTTGGGATTGCTACCAAGGTGTCTGTGATCAAGGTCAAGGTCACTGTTACTAAAAATAGAAATTCAGTTTCCGCTCAATAACTTGAGTTTGCTTTGGCCTATTGACACCAAACATGGTGTATGGATAGCTTATATCAAGAAGCAGCATGGGATTGCTACCAAGGTGTCTGTGATCAAGGTCAAGGTCACTGTTACTAAAAATAGAAATTCAGTTTCCGCTCAATAATTTGAGTTTGCTTTGGCCTATTGACACCAAACTTGGTGTATGGATAACTTATATCAAGAGGCAGCATGGGATTGCTACCCAGGTGTCTGTGATCAAGGTCAAGGTCACTGTTACTAAAAATAGAAATTCAGTTTCCGCTCTATAACTTGAGTTTGCTTTGGCCTATTGACACCAAACTTGGTGTATGGATAGCTGATATCAAGAGGCAGCTTGGGATTGCTATCCAGGTGTCTGTGATTAAGGTCAAGGTCACTGTTATTAAAAATAGAAATTCAGTTTCCGCTAAATAACTTGAGTTTGCTTTGGCCTTTTGACACCAAACTTGATGAATGGATAACTTATATAAAGAGGCAGCTTGGGATTGCTACCCAGGTGTCTGTGATCAAGGTTAATGTATTTAGTTTTCATGTTATAACTTGAGTTTGCTTTGACCTTTTGACAATAAACTTGCTGAGTGGCAGCTTTGGATTGCTACTTTGATATCTAGGAGCAAGTTCAAGGTCATTTGCTTACAATAGAATTTTCAGCTTCTACTCATTAACTTCAGTGTACTTTGACCTATTGATTGCTGTCTCATCAAAATTTGGTCGTTGAAAACCTGGTTTTCGTCGCATTGCGGCGCTTCTTGTTGTATCGATATATCGGTAATGAATTATCGGCGATACAGCGATATATCGATTGCCAGGAAAAATTTAGCTTTCAAGTCTTTTTTTATTTGTTTCAATAATAAATATGCAGTTATATTTAAACACATGCACAAAAATAAATTAACCTTGAAAAGTGAACAACTTATTTCTTTTTTATCATTAGAACTTTTAATGACAACTAATGACTAGTAACTATAATGTTTAAAACCTTTTCTATTTCTAACTTTTGTTGTTGTTGCTATAACGTACATGTAGTTACGGATTATGCTAAATCCCGTCCTTGCCGTTCCATAAGTAAGTCGGTGTTTAATTGGCAAATTATGTTTAGAACCGGAATAAGTTTAACATAATGTAATCATAATTTTTACAAAGAAACACTTACAAAACATTTCTTGGCATTTTCCGTTTTAAAAATCTGAATTGGGGGTCTTGACCCCACTTAGCAGACATGCGAGATTACAACAAAATTCAGCAGCATTCGTTAAAGACACTGGGAGGTAACTCTGGTGTTGATTTCCGTTTTCCTTTTAGAAAATAAAGGATTTAACTCAATACAAGATTGGAGCAGTACCTCTAGACGCTATCAGAAAATAGACAAATATCGTTTTTTTCGCCGATTTTCAAATTTTTCATTCATTATCATACATAAATCGACGTGAAAAGATGAATTAGAACTTTTAAAGTTCATTCCGTTGGGTTAAAAAGCAAGATTCTAGCATTTTATCATTCAAGCGCCGTGTCCGGTATATACAGGAATACGGTATTTAGTGTGGTGCTCCAATCCTTTTTTTAGTCTCACTCGAAAATAAATGATTGAAATAATTATGTTAGTTCTGGCTTCCATAACTTTATATGTCGCTTTTATTTTGACGTTTGGTCTATCAGTACTATAATACCTGTTTGCTGAAGTCTCTTTAGCTAGAAACATGTGTGCATTCGATATCCGATATTTAAAAAATGGAATCGATATCGAATCGGAAAAGAAAGATCGTTGATACACCGATATCGATTGAATCGATTACACCCCTATGAAAAACCCACATTGGTAGAGTTCTGGATTACATCTGTTTTGAAACTGTCCAGTTGTACAATAAAAACAAAACGTTGATTTCTTTATCTTTTATTTACTTCATAATTTATGTTATATTGTGTGTTATATATACATGAATTAATCACATACCTGTCCACTTCTGGGACTCCGTAAAAATGGTTTTAATTGTATATATTTTGCCTTTTGGATAAAACAATTTCCTGATATAATGATAAAAATTTGGCAGTCCTTGAGTATCATAAGCAGAATTTACTGTCACAACATTGGCTATTTTCACAGACAAATGATTATAGATGTAAAGTGTTGAACGTCTAGTTTGTAATTACAGGAGCTGAAGAGTAAAGATGATCAGTATGTAAAAGATCTGAAGAAACAGGCAGAGGACGTTGACCTGATGAAAGAAAGAATGGAGGAACAAATCAAGAATCTTACAAAAGCATTAAGAGAGGAAATGAAGGAAATTGAGGTATGTGAACGGGTTTTGATAATTTGTAATATAGTGGCAAATAGATTTTTAGCTCGACTGTTTGAAGAATAAGGAGAGCTGTTGTTCTTTAGCATGGCGTAGGCATGGTCGTCACACTTTGGTGCAAGTTGGTATCTCCATAACTTCTGATTGGAATAGACTGAAACCAATCACACACTAGTTCTCTGTGATCACTGGTCCCATTAGTGTTGAATTTTGCCTCTCCCTTCCCTGAATCTGGAGTGTCCTTCCCCTGTTCCCTTTTACTTTGTGGGCCTATTAATCAGTCAATTATTTGTTTTCTTGAATTTCCTTGTCGGTTACTATTATTTCCTTCTCAGTATCATTTATGTAATTATCTTGTCTGTGCTCTGCCTTTTGTCCTGTGTCCTGTTTTTATTTGGCGTCCTCCTGGGCTCCTTGCCGCTAGATTGTTGTTGGATTGTGTGGGGGTTGCAATCATTGAACACCGCCTTTTCTTATTGATCTAGTTTATCATATTTTTTTTAGTTATCTATTTAGTTATGCCCCTTTTCTTACTGTCAAGCACTGAGAATAGTCAAGCAAATAACTTAAATGTCATGTATATGTGTGTATATTTCAGATGGCGTTTGTTGCGGAGAGAAACGAGCTATTAGAACAAGAGAACAAGAAATGGGAGGAGAAGATGCAACATCGCCGAGATAAAGAGGTCGAGTACATGAAGTCACGAGAAAAACGTGTCGAAGATTACGAGAATCAGTTACAGCATTTACGTGTACAGGACGCGGAGGAGTACAATATGGTGAAAATACGTCTAGAAACAGACGTACAGGTACGTTATAAATTAATTGTTACTTTTTTCTCTTTAAGGATTCGTAAATAGTGCTACAACTGTTATACATGACAATAAACAGACTGCATTGAAACATATTTTTCATATTTTCACTGGCGTCTTGCTGTACTACTGTCTTCTAAATTCTGGCAGTACACAAAATTTAAGGGAAAGCCTTTCGAATTGTAATGTCACAAAAAGAGAAAAAATGTATATAATAAACAGAAAATTTAAGTTTTTTTCTATAAAAAAATTGGATATGAAAATTATCATATTTCACTCATGAAATATTTATTCTCATACCACTTGACATATATATTTCAGTTGTTAGAGCAACAGCTACAGCAGATGAGAGCTACATATCAGCTGAATCAAGAAAAATTAGAATACAATTTCCAAGTTCTGAAAAAACGAGACGAGGAGAATACTATTACCAAATCACAACAAAAGCGAAAAATTACAAGGTAAACCACCCTCTTTCGACTATTTAAATTTATTGTTTTTTTTTGGGGAGGGGTTTACATCGCACCAAAACAGTTACGGTCATATAGCAACTTACAAAGAAAGACCCCAGTTGCCCTTCCATGCATTATTTCAGGCACAAACACAATAAATCAGGTACCCATCTTTGCATTTTTTTCAAGCATGAACAGGCACCTAAGTAAAACCACCGTTGTTCTGTAAGATAGCTAGATAGCTTCCTCATATGAATGAATCCAAAGTTCCTGTCGGAATTCGAAATCGTGGTCATTTTGCATAATAAATCTGCTTATGGGAAAATGGAGTGAGCGAATGATCTGAAATTTTGCGGTCAAGTTATAAGTAAAGACAAATATCAAATGGTATAAAAATCTCAAAAAAAAAAAAAAATTCACTTCTGTCATGTAAAAAAGACATCAGTGGTGTACCTTTAAGTATAAATCTCAATTATATTCTTTAGTCGAAAAAATTTTGAACATAAATTTACTACATTTTAAGAATAAGGGTAAGAAGGGGATACATGGTGGCAGCAGTTTGAAGGCCAAGTGGTAAATGTGTCAGACTAGTAATCTAATGACCACTAGTGTCATGGGTTTAAACCGTGTCAGGTTCGACTCTCACGAATAATTCTGTATAAACCAAGGGAATCAAAAAAGTCTTCTTGTATTTATTTAGATTACAAGACGTTCTGAATGGTTTGAGAATCAAGTGCGCCAAACAGGAGAAACAGTATCGTGATGAGAATACCCAGTTACAGGAAGACTACAAGAGGATCACGGAACAGTTTCGTGATCTACAGAAAAAATCTAGGTACAGTTATTCGATTTCTTTAACTACAGCAATGCATGTTATTTGGTATAATCTATGCTTTTTGCACTATGTCATGTAAACACTGATTTTATTTTATTAAAATTTGGATATGACCCACAGTGCATTACAAAGCACCTTATTTTTGTCAAACAGGAGTTGTTTGGGCTGTTATTCATGTTATTTGCATGTTTGACACTGGTGTAAGAGTGAGTGGGGCTCATACTCACCTAAGTTTAACACTGGTGTAAGAGAGTCTTGTTCATACTCTAAAAAAGAAGTGACATTTACTTATAAACATCTTGAAATGAAACTTTAGTGTGGTTAAATTATTTCAGGCATTTTATGCAGGCAGACACGAACAAGTTTAGTGATGTATGGTGCATGAACGAAGAAGAACTTAAAGAGAATATACTCAAAGTTTTAGAGGCGGACAAAATTATACATACTCATCAAATGGGTCTTGACTGGATGCAACCAGACTTGTAAGTTTTTAGTCATTATTTTATTAATCAGTATGCTTTTTCTTGGTGAAAAACAACAACACAATTTTGAAAATTAAGTAAAAAAAATCATATTAAATCTTTAATCAATCAGAAGTGCTGTGATCTTAATATACTTTAGTCGCTATAAATATCTTGTGTTATGAAAATTATCATATTATTTTCACTTGTGGCTCTTGAAATGTATTAATTTTTATACCAATCTATGAAATTAAATCCTATACTAATAGAAAAAACTTGAATATCCTCTATTTTTTCAATATGATGATAGCTAGCATTGCCAATTTAATTCCTTGAATTTTGATGTTGACAGGTTGTTTTTGGAGAATGAGGGACCGTTAATGGAAGAAAGCACAAAGAAATCTGGGGTGACGGCTCAGCAGGTTGTACAGGAAGTGCTCTCAGCTACTGGTGGTCGACAAACAGGTATAAAATACTGGATTAATAAGTCACTACAGTGTTGGAGCAGTACCTCTAGATGCTTGCAATTGTTCACGAAGTAGAAAAATATCGCAATTTTCGCCAATTCTTAAATTGCTCATTCATTTTCATATATAAATTGGTGTGAAGAGATGAATTACACTTCTTTAAGTGTATTTCGACGGGTGAAAAGATGAGAATTTAGCATTTAATCATTCAATCGTCTTGTTCAGTATATACTGGAGTACTATTATTAAATGTTACAAAGTGCTCCAACACTTTTTTTAAGTCTCTCTCATTATACTATATTTCATTGTAAAACTTTTGTTTTATTTAGAACTGTGTTCATTACAAGTCTGCCTGCTTGTCTCTTTAGGGAGAGCAACAGGTTTGAAACCCAGGAGTCGCTAGTTCGTTCCTCAGACAAGGCATATTTCTCTACCAATGTTGATCTCACACATTGAGTTTAATTGAGAGGCCATTTGTCTCCATTGATTTAAACAGGGTTCGCACAGATCTCGCAAAGTCCTGGAAAATCGACTTTCCTAGAAAAATCCTGAGAAAATCAGGGAATTCTGAAAATTTGTAATTTATTATGGAAAGTCATAGAAAATTAATGTGGGATTAGTAATTGGTAATTTGTGGAAAAATTTATAATAGGGAAAGCCATCACACCACCAGGATGTCACCAAAATGTGTTTAAATCTGCATTAGAACCCAAACATTAATGAAAGTAAATAACACTGGGTTTATTATCTTCTATGTACATGAAGGGGCACTTGAAGTCGTGAACTTCCTCCACCAGTAAAACAAGTCTCCATCAAAAAATTATGTGTCATTGTGACTGGAAACCCGACTTAAATAGACAAAAAGATGTGAAGAAGTCAATTATTCAGATCAGCATATAGCTTTTGTTACAAATGACGTGTAACATATAATTATAAACAAAACTTAATCACACATTGGTCAACTGATAGGTCTGATATACAAGCATGCATTGTTCTAATTTGCTTATTTTTTCAATTGAATATGTGACAGTATTGTCTATTGTTTGAATTTGAGATGATATAATCTTACGTTTCCATGGTAACAAAAGTGAAAATGTTGTGATTTCAGAAGCAAGCGAACCAGACGACGACGAATCCGTGTCGGACAGCAACATTCCCGCCGACCGTAAACCAAAGAAGACAAGTATATTGGACAAGATATCCGCACAAACTATCAAACAAATTCTAGAGCTTCTTTGTGATGAATCGGTAAGTTAGCCTCTGGATGAACAGTCTGTGCCCTAGGAAATCAAACTTTAGAAAAATACATACTAATAAGAGTTTAAGTAATTTTTAAATATTAACAATCCATGTAATTGTATTAAATGTTTTATGTAAAATATTAATGGATTAACTGTCTTTGTGGCCATACCTCTTTTTCTTACAGAGTAAGGATTCGTTTTTTCTTACGTTCTAGGTAATATGTGAGGATTGTAACAGTACATTTATGCTGTCTTTTAAAAATTATTTAATTTGTTAAGGTGGTAATATAGTTACTATTAAGATAGGTTTTGAATTTTTATATAAAATTAATCTAAATTGAAGGTGTGTAGCTTCAAAAATTTCATTTCTTTGTTATTTTTAACTTATCTGTTTTGAAGCAAAAGTTGAGATATTTTGATTGCTGTGACGTTGTTGTTGTTGCCATGCATGCAAAAACTTAAATGCAGCTCATTATTCGCACATTTTAAAAGTTATGAACAAGATAAACAGGAAATACTTGCTTATTATGACGAGGTGCTGATGTTAGACAGGGGGCATAATTCTGAAAGTAGTATATTTAGAGTTGTGCCCCTTTTTAAACTTAAATTTTTTTAAAAGATATATATTTATCATTGTTTCAGGGTTTCCTTGTAGAATCTAAATTAAACAAGTTGTTGGCACCATTGGAGAAAGATGAGCAATCTCTTATGAAACTTGATGCCATATTTAACGTAAGTTTGTCTTTTCTACTTTTTTAGCTCGACTATTCGATAAGAATAAGTAGAGCTATTGCAGTCACCCGAGCGTCGGCGTCGGCGTAACCACTTATGTTAAAGTTTTTGTAATAGTTCAAATATTTTCAAAGTCCATTGACATATGGCTTTGAAACTTTGCACACTTGTTCACCATCATGACCCCAACCTGTAGACAGGAGGAGGTAACTCTATCAAGCATTTTGACAGAATTATGCCCCTTTTTCGACTTAGAATTTACGTTAAAGTTTTTGTAATAGTTCAAATATTTTCAAAGTCCATTGACATATGGCTTTGAAACTTTGCACACTTGTTCACCATCATGACCCCAACCTGTAGACAGGAGGAGGTAACTCTATCAAGTATTTTGACAGAATTATGCCCCTTTTTCGACTTAGAATTTACGTTAAAGTTTTTGTAATAGTAGTTCAAATATTTTCAAAGTCCATTGACATATGGCTTTGAAACTTTGCACACTTGTTCACCATCATGACCCCAACCTGTAGACAGGAGGAGGTAACTCTATCAAGCATTTTGACAGAATTATGCCCCTTTTTCGACTTAGAATTTACGTTAAAGTTTTTGGTATAGTTCAAATATTTTCAAAGTCCATAGACATATGGCTTTGAAACTTTGCACACTTGTTCAACATCATGACCCCAACCTGTAGACAGCAGGAGGTAACTGTATCAGGCATTTTTTTTACTATCAAGCACTAAGAATAGTCGAGCATGCTGTCCTACCGACAGCTCTTGTTTCATTTTAAAGGCCCATCATGCCCCAGGAATGCTTTTATTTTTATTCCTCAGAAACTTTAAGTTTTCAAAAAGTTACTTATTGGCCTGAACAATCTTTTTCTTCTGTTGCTTTTTAATATATAGTACAATTATAGTGATTTAGTATTTTAAATGAAAGCCAAAGTACTACTTTGTTTACATTTTGTGATTTTTATGCCAAGTTTCCATATTTAGTGTTACTTTCTTGAGTTAAATAGCATCTACCATTTTAATTTTTCATGTTTGCCCCTTCTAAAGAAAAGAAAAAAAATTGCATTATGTTTATTATGCATAATGTCCCTTAAAACAAAACTTTTACAAAAGTAAGCATTAAAAAAATGGTTGAATTAGTATATAATAGATAATACAGTGGCGGGGTGATAGCAAATGAGGTTTATCCAAGGCGTGGTTATTGCTAGGTGAAACTAAACTATATAGATACATATTTCAGGCATTGAATATTGATACTGAAGAAGATATACATCTACTGGCTAGTTACTTTATGCATTTGAAAGGAAAACCAGAGCAGGAGGATGGGGAAGGTGAAAAGGTAAATTTCTAAACTTCTTGTTTAGTTTCTTAAATGGACTTGTCCAGCTTCCTTTTTTAGCTTGACATTTTAAAGAATGGGGAGAGCTATTGTACTCACCAAGGCGTTGGTGTCAGCATCACACTTCGAGTTGCATGCAAGTTGGTATCTCCAAAACTACTGAAGTTTCTCCAAAACTACTTCACACATTTATTTCAGAGCATATAGGAGGTCATTGTCAAGTTCCGTAACTCTAACATGGATTCTGACGGAATTATGGCCCTTTTTTAAACTTTGATATTTTTCCTGAATTAGCAATTTAGCACCAGTTTAAGAACAATGTCAAATTTAATGAAGAAATAGGAGAAAAATTAAAAGATTGAATTGGATGATTTTAAAAACTATACTATTGACTATTATAGTTTGTTTACAATGTGGTGCTACCACTAAAATGTTACATTTTATATATTATGTACATACATATCACATAGAAAAAGCATATGAACATGTATATCACATAGAAAAATAAACATCATTAAAAGAACAGCTATTGCCATTTCATGCCCCGGCAACTTGGTGAAGGGTGCGGAATATAGATTTGCCCATGCCCTTCTGTCCAACTTTTTTTCCACCTAGATGAAGACTATTGAATAGGGGAAACATAGGTCTTTAATAAAATTACTGAAACCTGACCCTCTTTGTTTTGTGTGTTTCATATCCTCTATTCTTTCCTTTTTTTTTTGAAACTGTTTAATTGTTTATGCAGAGAAAATCTAACAGCAGCACATGTACTGATATGAAAAGATATCTGGTATTTCAAGACACCAAGAATCATTTAAACCATTTCTTATTGTTAGCATATGTTCTGTAACTAAAGTATGCAGAACTATTTAAAAACTTCATGTGTGAAAAAAAGATTGCTTGTTAAACTGTAAATAGATGCTTTTACCATTACTTCATAAACACCCCGTTTCATCCCGTATATTGTCGATCAAGTAATGGTCAGTGTTTCTCGTTTTATTGAATATTTAATATAACTGTTTCAACCATTCAGAAGGAGGATGAAGAGTCTAAAACAGCTTACACGGAGAGCGGTGACATGGATGATATAGAACTCGAGATACTCAAGCTTACTGGTAAAGAGGGCGACGCAGATTCCTCGAAGAGCGAGACTGTTGAACTGATCCATGGCAACGAGGTTTTGAAAGCTCTTCGGTCGTTTGTTGACGATAACAGAAAGCCACAAAGGTACGCAATATTGGAATCTTATCTCATATAGGGTGACTGAGTAAATAACAATTAAATCAATAAGAAAAAAATCCGGATAAAGGATGATCCCTGAGAAGCATAAGTCACAACAAAATAACATGAAAATTGCAGACTCAGTTTGATATTGAGTCTGTACATGATGGATAATGAAAAAGTTATGTTCTGTTATGGTCAGAAACAATACTTGACAATTTTTACAAAAATAACTTAGGGTAGAGAAAATTTGATCATTTCTTATAATATATTATAACATTGAACTTCAAATAAAATTCAGGAAAACAAACAAATGGACATAACTTACTCTTAGTTCAAACCAATCAATAGACCTTGATTAAAATTTAGGAAATGTTGGATTTATTAATACAAAATTGAAATTATCTGTTTGTATATTTTGTTTTATAGAGAGAAAGGCAAAACATCACAATTTAAGATAAAATCACTGGAGGAAAGAGACGATTCTGGGGATTCGGAATACTGGGCTAAATACGCTCAAGTCATCTCACAGAAAAAGGAACGCCTCTGGGACGCTTTATTGGAAGGTCTTGAGAAATACAGGTAAAAACAGTTGATTATTATTATTATTAGATTCGTTTTTTATCACAGTAAGAATTGCCTGCTCTTCCATACAGAATGACCAGGTTTTATACTATTGATAGCTTTAATAGCAAAATCCCTTAAACTTTGAATGAACTGTTCCAAATTAAAGGTAGGGCAAATCCATTACATCAATTCTGCAGGGTAGGGTACGCCAGTTAAAGCATTTTTTCTCAACTTGGTTTCTGCTTGAATAAAAGAATTGCAAAGGTTAACAATATCAATTGTTAACTTATAGATTAATAAAAAAAAACAACAGAAATTTGATTATATATTGAAATATTCTTGTTTCAGCGAATGTCTTAACTCACGGTCAGGTCTTATAACAGAAACAGATGCACTGAGACAACAAAACGCAGAATTGAGAATGTTGTTACACCAGTATGTCAACTCTAAGGTGAGTGAACTGTCCCGTTTTTCATATTTTGCCTGCCTGCCTTAAAGTAGCTCAGGTTTTGCGAGTTTGAGTCTTAGTGCAGACTTTGATAAGTTAGTTGAAAGATTATCTATTATTATTTTTTGAGTTATGCCCCGTTTTAACTTAGAATTTTTCGTCAAAAGTTGTTATTTTAACAGGTGAGCGTTAACACAACATGTGGAGCTCTTGTAACAATGAATTTTTATATATTTTTCAGGTAAATGCTGAATTGGAGGTGCCACCAACACGTGTGTTGCAGCTAGAGATGAACCCTCCACGCTGATGGCCCAACTCACACTTTCTAAACAATACTTTTTCATCATATAGACTTTAGAAGCCCCTGACTATTGTAACGTGTCATTAAAATTTCTCTGTTTTTATTGTTTGTATTGAAATTTTTCAAAGTACAAAAGGTCTGAAATTTATGTTAATATTGTATTTAAACAATTAAGTTACTTTGTCATTGCAGAAGTACAAACTCGTTTTATTTTTTTTTACTTTGTCATTGCAAAAGTACAAGTTTGCTTTATTTCTATTGGTTGATTTGTTTTGCTTTAAAATGTTTTATTCTGTATTAAAAAAATGTTTCTGAATCATAAAACAGGATATTTATAGAAATTTTTGAGTTATTTTTTATTCATGTGAAGAAGTATATGCTTAGTTATACATTAATAATTAAGTGAAATATCAAGATTTTATTCTATCAAATGTTACAATAAAATTTGTATGAATATTTGAATTTGGGACTTGCTATTGGTTCTATTTCTTAGGTTAATTAAAGTCTTTTGTTGCAATATTTGAAATGATATTTTTCTGTAGGCTTGATTAAGGACACTATTTTGTGGGTTTAAGGACATTCTTTTTGCTTTTGTGGTAATTTTGGAATTACATTATTTTGGTAATTTTAGGACATTCTCTTCAATTGTAGTAATTTTAGGACATTCTTTAATTGTCTAAATTTTAGTACATTCTTTAATTATGTTAATTTTAAAAGTTCACATTATTGTGTTAATTTTAGGACATTCTTTAATTGTGGTAATTTTAGGACAGAAATCTTTATTTGCTGTAATTTTAGGACATTATTTGTGGTAATTTTAGGACATGTTATTTTAGTCCAGGGGCAATGATTAAATTGCTTGGTTGGGAAGTGTGAGTGATCTGTGATATGTAAAACAGTCCAATATAATGACATTGTCATTTATTTTGAAAGACACAATTTGTTATTTGCGTTAAAAGAGACAATTTTTATAAAAAAGCAAAATAATATATTCAGTGAAACGCACTGTCAGCTGTTTTTAATACTAAGACTTTTATGTTTTATATAAAGTGAATAGTGAAAATATGATGGCCTTATATTATAATTATACATACTTTGACAAATAAATAAAAGTACAAATTTATTCAGTGTGTTTAGTGTTTATATGACTTCAATTAATTTTGCCTTAGTTAAAGGCAAAAAGCACATGAGAATATTTTGTTTTGTTTGTAATATTGAAAGTGAACACAAGATGAAACGGGGGCATGGGTGGAGAGCTCATTTCCTATTTCATGAGATAATTATACATTCATGCCAATTTTCATTAAAATCTTGAGATAGGGACCAGAAATGTTTTTCTTGTTTCATGTATAGAGAGCCATGGTTCTAAACCATTTTGTCACAGAATGAAGAAGACTTTTGTTCCCTTTTTTCATTTACTTGCCCCAAATCAGATTAAATCACTAAAACAGACAGGCGGGCAGGCAACACAACTTCAATTCTCCCCTCTTTGATTTTATTTGGGATATAATAAAGCCAACCAAAGCTTACGCCCATTATCAACAAATAATCAACATAAATAACAAAACCAAAAGTTTTTCCTCTTTCAATTTTTATTTTATTTGTTTTACACACTGACTTTTTTTTATTTATTCATGATCAGTATAACCAGTACATTCAATGTACGAGTTATACACAAATATTATATTAAAATATTCACTAACTTAACAATATAAACAAGATTAGCTGTAACAAACATTTTTATAATACACTGAACTAATGGATCAGGAGTATCCCATAAAGCCATCCCACAAATAAACAAAGCTACATGCAAATATGTATATATACATGTATATTATATACATCCATTTACAATTTTTCATAAACATATTTCAGTAACATGATTCAGTAACATAAAATTCCATTATATAAATATATACACTTCTCTTTACACATTATACATAACTTAATACACTATATGCCCATTAACTATACACATACAATATTTTTGTTACAAAGTTTTTCCATTAACACATTCCATTACTTGTGCATACCATTCCATTAATACATTCCATTATTTTTACCAAGTATTTCCATTAACACATTCCATTAATTGGATTACAGGTATTTCCATTAACACCTTACTTTAATTGGCATATTATTCCATTAACACATTCCATTATTTTTACAAGTATTTCCATTGTCACAATACCATGAATTTTGGCATACTATTCCATAAACACATTCCAATTATATTTACAAGTATTTCCATTAACACATTCCATTATTTAACATATAGTTCCATTAAAATAGTCCATTATTTAACAAACACAATTTAATAAAAAAGAAACATATTCCTTTACTAGTTTACCCTGGTTAATATAATAAAAGCTGGATAAAAATAATAAGAGCCTGTGCTATGAAGAACATAAATAGTTAAGACCGCCAATAAACCTGTTTGCTTTGTGGCCGTCATTTTATTTTTTGAAGGAAAACTAAGAGTAAAATGCCTAGGAGTGAGGAAAAAAAGTGGGGATATAAAGATGAAAGTTTAAACTTCAACCCAGTCTTCAGTATAGAATCTGGTCACACTTTTGACCTGGCTCTGTCTGTGTGTTCTAAATTAAATAAGGGTCCATCCGCCCATTCAGGCACTGAAAGTCTGACCTCACTTTATACTGGTGGTGAAGTTTTATCACTTCCGGTTCCCTACAGGTTAAACATCCGGTTCCAAGCAGGTTAAAGGATAATATTATGTACAGTTTATCATAAAACCTTTTAACCAAGAAGGCCGAAAATTTTAAAAAGTAAGATAAGCAATCTAATAAGCTTCCAAGCATACTGCAAAATCTGTATTATTCGTGAGGCACAAATTTTCATGGATAAATCAATCCCAAGAATTAAAGATCAAATGAAATTTATTTCTTCTGCTATAAGATTATTTTTGCATTACGCAAAATCAGTCGGAGTCCCAGATTTTTCAATAAAGTAATATGAAAGGAATTTTTTTTTTTTTTTGGACAAAAACACGAAAATGTCATGCCCACGACATAAAATCAGAAAGACAGTATGCTGCAACTACTCAAGCAAGAACTAATTTTTACAGAAAAAATAAAAGATTATAGACTTGGGTTAATCATAGATTATGCTAATATATATATGCCTGAATATGTTCGTGAACAAGAGCACTACAAATGAGTTTTACAGCTCGTCTACTGAAAATTCCTTATTTAAAAAAGGGGCATTAACTCCAGAAAATAAAACTTTCAGAATTATGCCCCTTGTATAACAACTGCACCAAGTGAACAAGTACATATATTCCAAGTTTCATGTTGATAAACATTTTGAATGTTTGAATAATGGGCCACATTAATGATTTTGAAAGTGGCCAACGACATTACAGCAATCATAAAAGCTCGACATATTCTTCGAAACAGACGAGCTAATAAAAGCAAGATATATAATACTTATGATTCTATGTTTAAAGAGTATAAAGCTAAACTGGGCCTAAAGCCTATACAGGATAAAATATTTGTCAATATCTCATTTATTATGAACAAAAATGTATAAAAATCCCTGTAAAAAACTAAAAACAGAAAAACAAACAAATCAAAACGTTGTATTACAAGAAAAGGCAACTTTCAATTTTTTTTAATAAAATACTAATTGGATAGATCAACAAAAAAGGGAAGAGAAGTTATGATTGCTTGACCAAAGCCCTCATTTTTTGTCCATTTTTAGAAAAATTAAAAATTATATGGTAAAAATTATCTATTCCATGCATTTATCACACAAGAAGATCCAAATATTCTTTTTTTTACAATAATTGTTATCTATTTCATGCTTTTATCACACAAGAAGATCCAAATATTTTATGTACTTTTGATTGTGGGAAACAGATTTTAAACAATTTCAGTTTTAAAGTCCATTTTCTGAATTTCAATGAATATTACAAACAAATAAAAATAGAGTTACTGACAAAATATGCTATAAAAATTTCAAAAATTTCATAAATCAAATTGATTATACACTTTTGTTTATATTCGGAGAGTTGTCACAAAATCTGTGTTATCAAATGCACATGATTTAATATAAGACAACTATATAAAAAACAACAAAAAGAAACGACATTCCCCTTACAAAGTATTAAACATCTTTTATATGGTAGGGGTAGTCAAGTATAGCTTTACACCCTTTAAACTCTACTTTACTCTAGTGCATATAATGCACAATCATATTGTTAATAACTATCCATTACTACATTAAACAACCAGAATAAAAATCTTCCATCTTATTATCTTAAAGTGACATTATGCTCTTTTTTTTTTTCGCTTTCTAGTGGAATTAGTAATATATTTTAAAAGATTGACTATTTACATGAGTAATAATGGCGAGTGACCTGGCATTGATATTGAAAAATGTTACAATACAATATAAATACTATTAAGGATCTTAATTACATGTAATATAAATCCGTGATACTACCCAAAATAGAAAACATCTGCCCTATTCTTTTTAAGAATTACCCATATATTCTTAACAATATTTGCAGAAATTTCTGTTGGTCACGTGGTCTATTGATTTATTTTTCAAGGTAAAATATTACATTGAACACAATTATGGCAATGTTAAATTATTTTTATTTATATTTACTGACCATTTATACTTGGGCGGGCATAATGTCACTTTAGTATTATATATAATTATAATATTATTTTATACAACTATTCTTACATAATTTTTACACATATATTGATGTAGATGCATTTTTACAAAATAAGACTTTTGCTCTATCATATTTCCATGCATAACCTTATTATTTCCCAGGACATTATCATCACATTACCATTTCTGATTATCCAATATTTTCAAGTGCTTAAAAACTTACTTCTTAACATAAACTCAAAATTCTCTTGTGAGCAAAATAATAACCCAGAAATAATAACAAGAGGCTGTTTGAAATTTGTCTGAAATATAGACCTAAAATTATAGCGCACAAGACAATAAGTGATAAGTCACATATGAAAGAGATCAGTTGATAAAGGCTGCATGACCACAAGTGTAAATGTCTATTTTTATCAGTCGGCTAACCTTGACCATGACCCAAATAACCAAAGAATAAAGACAGTATAAGCAAATGTATAAAAATCTATTTGTAGCACTGGTGACCTTGACCTTGGTGTTCCCTTACTCCACTCTTAGTTAGAGGACTGTCCTACCAATAAACAAAACTTTAAAAGTTTTTTTCGTATGTATGATTATATAATTTGATACAAAATTTAAGAAGCAAGTGCAAACAGTTAATTTTTCAAGTTAGATTTCCTTGCAGCTGTTGGGAATATTTTTTTTGAAAGGAGTTATTTTGGATTGGGAATGGGACCTTACAATGGGTCCCTGGTGATAAGGTAAAATTGCCCAAAGTGCAGGGTTTCGTTCTAATCAATGAACATGGCGGGCTATCCAAATTGATACACTAGATGCCATAAAAACAAATATATTAGCATCTGAATAGAACCTAAATATCCATGCAAGCTGACCAATCCCTGCTCTTTATCTTTCTTTGGCATTTTGAGACAGTACCAAATTCAAACGAAGCAATTTCATGACATAGAGTAAGCAGAGCAAGAGTTCAACTTTGACTACTATTGATTTTGAACTACATGTATATCGTCACCTTAGTGCAGTAATGGCCTAACTCCTAAAATAATTTAATAGAAGTCACAATGTCACTGCATTAAGGTGATATATATATGAAAACCTGATAATAATGCGGCAGAAAATTTCAAGTAAGGTTGCGTTGTTACAGACGTCTGACAGAAGAATGGACGGACAACATGTTGTTAATCCTAAATGTTCATTAAACAGCTTTTTGTTCTCACTGAGCTTAAAATTAACTAAAAATAAACAGTGCCATCCAGTAATGCCATCAACATGTTAAAACAATGGTGTCAACATGTTAAAGCAACATTATCAACATGTTAAAACAACATTGTCAACATGTTAAAGCAACATTATCAACATGTTAAAACAACATTGTCAACATGTTAAAACAACATTGTCAATATGTTAAAACAACATTACCAACATGTTAAAACAATGTTGTCTACATGTTAAAACAACATTGTCAACATGTTAAAACAACATTACCAACATGTTAAAACAATGTTGTCTACATGTTAAAACAACATTATCAATATGTTAAAACAATGTTGTCAACCTATTAAAACAGAGAAGTAACACAGAAATTACAAATCAACAAAATATAACAAAAGCTTAACATAAAAGTAATTCAGGTAAATATTTTTTTACAAAGGCTAACAAAAGATATAATTGATTAAAATAATTTTACAAAGGCGTAACAGATACATAAAATAAAACTAATGAAATCACATGATCTGACATAACCATCGTAAAATCATAATCAACTGACATAATACAATGGAGAACTATCATCACAAAAATTTACTCAAGTAACATAATATTATACATACTTTTTAACTCAACTTTTAACATGACTTTACCAAAGCATAAGACGATCATCTTCATCAATTCACATAAAACTTCACATTTTCCTTTTCATTCAAATTTTTCATCTTTTCAGTTTTCAAATGATCAATTTCTGCATACTGAACATTTTCCTTCGACACATCATCCAAGGAGGACGGATGCCGACTTTTGACAACACGCGGAGACGTACCGTCCATATTTTCCGTAGATCCTTTCAGGTCGAGGTCAGCGTAATGTAACTCATTATCATTATCTGAATTCAGCTGTTGCTGTGAACTACACTTCGCCTGATTGCCAGACGACAAACCACTCGCGGGAAAGTTCATCTCTTCATATGACGACAAGTCTGTAAAACTGTGGCGACTCTGAACATGATCCAGATTTTCTACATCTTTAATTTTGTCTACATTCTGTGGCACGATCATGCATGGCATGCTTTTTTGTTTATGTAATTCCAGGCCGGCAGTAGCTGGTTCCAGACATCCTTGTGACGGCAATCTATTTCCAGATGCCCCATTACCTTGTTTTGTTTGGCTCGTCAGGCAAGCTGGCCCACTCGCTTTTCTTGCCCTATACGCATGAACTTCATTATTTGATCTTGGACTGATAGCAGACGGACCAACAGGTACACTGCTCTGACGTGAGAGAACTGTATTCTGCTGTATACCTCCGTAGGACCTTGGTGTTGGCAAAGATTTTCTCAAATTATCCCCACATAAGCCAAACGATGCCAAACCAAAGCCTGGGACTTTCCCTATGCTTGTATTAGACGAGCGACAGGATAAGGGTGACTTGAATGGCGACCCTAATTCTCGACTTCCTACTGAACTGCCACTAGTAGAATCATCCGATATGTAACTGAGAGGAGTCTCGGGGACAGGGATGTCATCTCCTTCCTCACTGATATAACTGATGGGCGTTTCCGGACAAGGAATACTATCCTCACTTCCAACACTCTCTAAAACCTTTCTGCTTCTATCACTATTTGAGCTTGATGCACTCTCGGACCGAATGTGAGATTTATCTGCAAAAACATCTTTCTCGCCACCGAAATTTAAATCACAATACCCTTCATCCTGTACTGCCTCTCCTTCCAGCAGCGGTGGCCCACATTGTTTAATAACTAGTTTACCAAGATGTCTATCCCTGACATTAACCCTCTTAGTGTCAGCATCCTCCCTAACCCTATCTACACCCTCACAATTATTACCATTATCTGCTTCAGCATCATTTCCTTTATTACCCTCTATCACAGAAATTTGCTCTTTCAGATTTTCACTAACATTTTGACACTGCCCTTCAACATGATGTCCCACTGCATCAAAAACTTCATCTTTAACTTCACTAGACTTCTTCACAGGATACTTAACAGTATCTCCAGTATGTACAACTGACACATTTTCATGCTTATTCATATCTTCATACTCGAATAGTTTTTCATCCACTTGACCTTTAGCCTCTTGACTAGCTTTCTTTAAAGGTGAGTCCTTTCCCTTCTTCTCCTCAACAGATAAAGACTGGGCAAGAAAGGACAGAACTCTCTGAGGTGATTTCAGAGCTTCATTAACGACCTTGTCTTCTGCACTACCATCAGTCGCAGGATCAAAATCTATGTAAGAAAAGTCATCACTTTTTTTCTTAGTCTCTTGAACAACACTAGAATCTACAACAGTGGACGAACCTTTTCGTTTGTTTTTCAACGAACCAGTTTCAGCTGGTTTTACTGACCCTTTATTTACTTCTTTTACTGGACTAGATTCAATAGAAACTGTTGATTTCACCGATACAGGATCACATTCCATGTAATCAGACACAACTTTCGCATCAGTTGCTTTCTCTGAACTTCCGCTCTCCGGAGAAAAGTCAATCTCGCAATATTCTCTTTCAGTGAACTGTTTTGACAGAGGTTTCACTACTTCTTTATCTTTCACTTTATCTACACTTTCATCCAGGCCCGGTAAATAGTCCATATAGGCATTATCATCCTTTACCTTCACTGCCGGCTTCGAAACCGGTACCAAACTTTTAACCTCAGACGTATTTATTTTAAACATCTTATTTGAAAACAGGTCGTCGTCAGGCATGAAAGCCACAGTAGGTTCTGATGATGCCTCCTCTTTTTCATGAATCTCTTCCTCAAGAACCGAACTTTCTTGTTTTTTCACCTTTGGACTACTTTTCTCTTTACTCTTTTTATCTTTTTCACTTTTTGATTTTGACTTCTCTCCCTTATGATGCTCTTTACTTTCCTTCTTTCCTTTAATCACATTTTCATGCTTACTGTCACTTTTTGTAGAAATTGCATCTGGATATTTGACAGTCGAGTCATATGACTTACTGTACCCATGCTGAATTTTAATCCCGGGATGTGACTTTGGCGTTATATCATACGGATTTTTCATGTTCAATATTGAAGACGAATCGTCATGTGAGCTCAAACTTGCTGCTTGATTTGGCTGAAAAGGGATGTAACTCTCATCTTCAGATTCCTTCCCTGAACTCGAAGGAGACCGCTTATCTCCCTTTTTCAAATGTGATGTGGCAACCTTAAGCTGATTATCTGATGAAACAGGTACAGGACCTTTGTAGTTCTGTTTCTGCAATATAACTTTTCCTGAAGGTTTGATTACTTTGGCACCTAGACTACGATCTGAATGACTTTGTCCATGCCCCACAGAGGCAGGTGAAGACCCCAGACTGTGTGCACCACTAGGCAAGCTGTGGGTTGAGGAGCATGGAGATATACCTCTTGACAAAGATTTAGACGCACCTGTCCCTACAGACATATCCATGTAACCTGTTGAGTCCTTTTTTGGCGAGACAACCCCTTGAACATTGGGAGAAGGTGTTTTCCGTTTGTCATAATTCATGTCCATATACTCCGTAGTTTCTTTCTTACTCTGGCTTCCATCAGAAAGCTTTTTTAAAGAGTCACTTGATGAGTTACGCGATGAGCTCGACATAATACCGAGAGATTCTTGTGAACGGTGCCGACTGGACAGCTCCTGGGAAGTTGTTCTTACAGATTCAAAAGAATCCTGCCTAAAGCCAGCAGCTAGCTTACTCATTGTTCCTTTCGCTCCTTGTCCATAACTAGATGACCGTGGTCTGTGTCCTTGGGGCATTAACTGTTTACCGAAGCTTGACGAACGTGGTCGACACCCGTAACTATCACTAGCAGTGCGCGGTCGATAAAACTCCATTTCCGTAAAGCTATCAGAGTCGTCTGACTTTACAGACTGACTTAACGGACTTGCTGTATACCCATCATGATGATTCCTATGAAATATATCCATGAATTGTGACCGAGGTTTCTGCACAATTAAATGCGGAGCACTCGAGCTCTTGCTACTGTCTAGTGGCTGATGCCGTAAGATCTCTTGCGGCTGGCGATGCCTAAATGCAGGTTTAGAAATGGGCCTGCTGCCGACTGAATATGCACGTTTAGGTAATTCGCCTGACATAGAATCGTCTGAGAGGTAGCTTATCACTTTGGCAGGTTTCAAGCCCTCGCTTGACAGGACACCCTTCCTACTTGGGGACATTGGGAGGTAAGCTTCTCCACCTGTAAATAGCAGAATGTATATTTTTAAACAAAATTACCGACATGCACATGATATATATTGCTGAACATGAAAAATCATATACGATTATTCAGTCAATATACTTTATTTTGAGGAGTTAAGTTGGGATAATGTGATATTATTAAGGTAATGTTATTTATGCACGTCACTGGTCATTGGTATATTTCATTTATATATCTGTTGTTTAATAAACAATAGGTTCAATGAACACTAAACATGATATTTTATCATACTTTTTAATCCATCTGCATACCAACCAGTTTAGCAATCTTCCAGCAGAACAACATATAAAAGTGACTTTTGGATCATCCCCCTACCCCATCCGTATCTTACTTGACTCTTAGTTTGAAGAAACATTTAATGAAATACTAGTACACATTAAGACGCTTACTTCCACTTTCTTTCACTGTGGGAAGAGGTTGACTTGAAGGTCCCATGTCCATATAGCCTGGCTCTTTGTTCACACGGATAGGTATCGGCGCAGTGGTCCTAACCCACGCTCCGTCCATCATAACATAGCCTGGTCCGGGATCTGTTGGCGCTGAAATAACATCATATAGTCTAGTTATAGATGTTATTAGAACGCAGCAAATATGGGCTTGTCTCAGCTAATCCATAGGTACAAACAAACAAACAAACAAATTTTTACCATTATAGCATCACGGTGCACTACCTGTCACAATAGATAAGTCAACCTGTTGCGCTTATTTTCAAAGTTGTAGCTGTAAAAGTTTGTTTGTATCTACGGATTAGATGGGAAAAACCCAAATGTTCTTAATTACGGAGTTTATGGAATATGGACCACTTTGGAGTTCTAAATTGCCAAGGTATATCATATCATTCATAAAAACGTCACAAAATTTTAGGCAATCATCAAAAGCTGGGTGTTTAATGTCAAATTAACACTGATATGTTATATAGAGACGTACTACCTTTTTACTAAGGTAGGACGATAAACACATGACCTCTTTGGATGATTTGTTTGTTTTGATTGGGTTTCACGTCACATCAACACAGTATAGGTCATATTGCGACGTTCCAGCTTTACTGGTGGAGGAAGACCTCAGATGCCCTTCCGTGCATTATTTCAGGCACAAACGGGCACCTGAGTAGAACCACCAACGTTCCGTAAGCTAGCTGGATAGCTTCCTCACATGAAAGAATCCAAAGTCCCTGTAGGGATTCGAACCCACAGCGGTGAGGGGCAAGTGGTTTGAAGTCAACAACCTTAACCACTCGGCCACGGACGCCCCTCTCTTTGGATGAATTCAGGTGTGATCATAGGAATTATCAATCCACAGTAAGCTTGCTGTCAAGCTTCCATACAAAAAAAGATTCAACAAGAACTGTGTCCAAAGGACACTGATGCCCCCACTGTGCAGATGTGCTCATAAACAAGAGCATGCATATCTGTATGTAAGATTTTTATGTGGAACTTTTTATTCTGCAGTTGCAAAGGAATTTAGGAGTCCTGTATATTTTTAATGTTGTCGATTCATTTCAAAATAAGATATTTTATACAAGGGCTGTCAAATGGACATCATGCTTGAATACTCTTAGTGCTTAATAGTAAAATAAAACTATGGTATATAGTGAAAAAATCAACAAAGGGCCATAATTCTATTAAATTTGGTCGCAGCAAAATTCCTTCCTTTACTACCATCTACACATTAAGGTTGTTCATCCCATGAAGTTTAAGCAAAATCTGCCATCCGGTTTAAGAGGAGTTGCATTCACAAAATTTCTACATAGTATATAGTGAAAAAATCAACAAAGGGCCATAATTCTGTTAAATTTGGTTGCAGCGAAAATTCTTTCCTTAACTACCATCTACACATTAAGGTTCTTCATCCCTGGAAGTTTAAGCAAAATCTGCCATCCGGTTTTAAGAGGAGTTGCGTTCACAAGATTTCGGGACGTACGGAATGACAGACGTACGGACGGACAGACATACGGACGGACAGACATACTGACGGACGGACAAGTGCAACGCTATATGCTCCCCACTTTGTGGAGGCATAAAAATTCAAAAGCAGAATTTGGAGTCTTAAAAGTAAAGGGAACTGTTAACATTATTAATATTATTCAAAATGACTGATATCTGACCACATAGTGCTTAATTATTTTATGAAGCGTTTAATGAGAAACTTCCAGCAACATGTTAACCTTTATCACCTTAAATATCTTAAATGGACTTGTCCATCTTTCAATCTGGACAAAACCAGTCATTACCTATAGGGGAAATTTTCCAAAATATGTATTACAGGGTTCGTACAGACATCCAATGCCAAAATTCAAGGACTTTTTAAGCACTATTTAAGCATGTTTTCCCATTTTTTCAAGCACATTTGTTGCACATATACTGACACAATCTGCAACCTTAGAAGGATAGTTAAATCACTTTAAGAAGGATAGTTAAATCACTTTAAGAAGGATAGTTAAATCACTTTAAGAAGGATAGTTAAATCACTTTAAGAAGGATAGTTTAATCACCATTTTTTCTTGAATTATACACATTTTCTGACAACAATTTTAAGGAATTTATAGAAGAACAACAAAGGGCACATCAAATACAGATTAGTTTAAAACCACTGCAATTTGTCCACTTACTGTTACCTTGAGTAAACATTTCATAGATTCTGATACTAAATTGGATCATTTTTTTTATTTTGTTAACCATTGATTGTTTATCGAAACTATGTTATTCTGTGATTCAAACATTTTCAAGCACATTTTCAGCAAATTTAAACACTTTTAAAGCACTTTTAAAGAGAGTATTCAAATTCAATGACTTTTAAGCACTTTTTTACATTTTTAAGCCTTTTTCAAGAAAGGGACTCAAATTTAAGCACCTTTTAAGACCGTACAAACCCTGTATTAACTGAAAAATTAACTGTGCAGACCATGATGCAAAAGGCATGCATGCGACAGCTGACCTTGTTCTGTACTTTTAGGTAAATAATAAAACTCAATTTATTGAAGTTATACTTACTCCGGTGTCCAGGATTCATATCAATGTATCCGCTACTATTGTGTACAGGGGGTGTTGTTGGGGTCATGTCCATGTACCCTCCGCTGCCAGACGATGACTTGGGGGGTGTCATATCCATGTATGATTCTTGACTATTGGTTGCGGCACCACTGCCTGGTCTCATGTCCATGTAACCACCTCCAGTCTGGCTGCTGGAGCCAGCCGACCCTGAAAATGAAGTTTTGATTTTTCCGTACATTCATTTAAGAATATTCTTTAAAATTCAAATCAAAACTATGACAAGTTTTTTTTAACCGTTATTGTAAACTCTAACTCAATTTGAATTCAAAATAGTCCAGCAATCACTTTGGAATTGTCTACTGTTAATGTAATTTGTCACCTTAGTGCAGTAACGCGTTAAGTCCTTCTAATTTAATAGGAGTTAACCAGTTATTGCACCAAGGTGAAAATTAAATTTATATATTTCAACCTAAACTGAAGCAGTAAACATGTACAGTAGAACTTTGATGTGTCGACTTTTGCTAAGTCCATTTTCTTGGTGTGCCGAAGTAAAATAAAAGTCCCGATTTTTACCCTTATATATTCTTTATTAAAACCAAAATTGTATGAGTGGAATTAATATGTGTCAATTTTTTTCGATGTGTCAAAACATTTATATGGTTCATAAAGAATAATTTGAGTTTATTTGACCAAAGATGAGCGAAAAACCATTGATTTATTTGACACCTTCGATCTCAATATATTTTTCCGTGAAAGTGATTGCCAATCAATTTGTATGACAGGTGTTCTACTGTATGATGCTCTTTTGACTGCAAGCTAAATTGTACCTACACAGCTCCCATAAGTGGCGGAGAAAAAAAAAATTGGCCAGTGGAAAACCTGGCTTAGTCATTTTTACAAAAAGCATCCTTAATTTAAACTTACCATTCCAGTTAAATAACAAAATTAATACATTTTTCTTTCCTGAAAGTTTCTTTGATTCATTATATTATCTTTTTATCTTACCTAGCCGTTCACTGAATCGTGTGGGTGATGGGGAACCAGACCTGTGACCTGGTGTCATTGACAAATAATCGTCCGATTTTTCATTCTGGCCAGGGGTCATTGGGAGATAGTTACTCGACTTCTCATTGTTGCCGGGCGACATGGGCAGATAGTCACCCCCTGACCTATCTGCTTGACTGGGATCCATTGAGAGGTAATCGCCATTTCTTTCTAACTGACCTTGACCTCTAGAAGGTGAAGAGGTCCTTGACCTATGACCTGGAGTCATTGGGAGGTATGGTTCTGTTTCACTAAAATCTTCCTCTGTTATAGAGTGGGAAGCCTCGGGTGTCATTGATCTTGCACTCCTAAAATAACAATAGAACAAAGGTATTCCAAAACATCCATACTTTGTGGAAAGTTGACATTATCTATAATCTATTGCTTTAACAAGTATTAAATGAAAAACATGGAAAATGACTTTTTTAATTTGTTTTTCCAAGCTACATCAACCCCTAATTAATTTCAATAATTGATAAGGGTAATAACAAGGGTGATCAGTGATCACATGTGTCGTCTCATGACAGCAAACTGCATGTTGCAGCTAAACAAAAATTCATTAACAGGGCAAAACGTGAAATTGCACCAGTAGAGGCCACAAAAAAAATACACTTCCAAACAATTGGCCAACAAATAAAGAATTTTTCACTCTTTAAACTGCTTGGGTGATTGAATGTACTCATGCGACTAGCACAGACCAAGATGAGCTGTAGACATTTGTGACACCTGAGAAGGGTCTGCAGTTTTTGCTATTCAGTTAATACGCATCTTAAAATTTGACTAAAGAAAACGATGAATGCTTTTATCAAGATTAACTAGTCCATTTCAGATATTTCGCATGATAAGTGATTTAGCATGGTAATTGATTTAGCATGGTAAAATATTTAGCATGGTAAGATATTTAGCAAGTGATTTAGCATGGTAAGTGGTTAAGCATGGTAATTGATTTAGCATGGTAAAATATTAAGCATGGTAAGATATTTAGCAAGTGATTTAGCATGGTAAGACATTTGCATGGTAAGTGATTTAGCATTGTAAGTGATTTAGCATGGTAAGATATTTAGCATGGTAAGTGATTTAGCATGGTATGATATTTAGCAAGTGATTAAACATGGTAAGATATTTAGCATGGTAAGATATTTAGCATGAGAAGTGATTTAAGATAGTAAGTGATTTAGCATGGTAAGTGATTTAACAATTGATTTAACATGGTAAAATATTTAGCATGGTAAGTGATTTAGCATGATAAGTGATTTAGCATGGTAATGTGATATAGCATGGTAAGGGTTTAAAGATTATACTCACACAAATGATCCTTCCGGCGAGATAAAATTGTAAAATTGATAAAATGGTATGTGATTTAGCATAGTTAGTGATTTAGCATGGTAAGTGATTTAGCATAGTAAGTGATTTAGCATGGTAATGTGATATAGCATGGTAAGGGTTTAAAGATTATACTCACACAAATGATCCTTCCGGAGAGATAACTGGCGTGTTAGGTGTGTTTTCGTATGGATGATCCAATGTCTCTGACATTCGACTATGCCTGGAACTCATACTGTCCGACCTTATCCGAGACTCGTCTAGAAATGACCCGTCAAAACCACTGAAACAATATCAGATATAATTATTTCATTTTATGTCAGAAATAGTTTCAAGTTAAACTGGCAATGTGTTGCAATTGTGAAGGTCATACACATCTCTATACATTTCATGAGGCACATCAATAGGTTCTTTTGAGATACTGGAATGATATATAAAGAGACTTACACTTGCTGCAAATTCAGACCGGAATATCTAGCTTGAGGGCAACTGTTTATGGCGTTAATGGGGTTCTGCGAAGTTTCAGCTAAACAGTTACCTGAGAGCTAGATATTCCTGTCTCTGACTACAGCCGATGTTTGATTCTTGCCTTGCATATTACATACTAATTGTATTTCGGAAAGAAATTACGAAAAACAGTACTTTTCATTAAGCACTTTTTCTTATAGGTGCATATAAATTTACAACTTCATTCATAATGGCCAAATGACATCTGCCATAAAATGCAAATCATGAATAAATGGAACATGGGAATAATTTCATTTCAAGCACACAACTTGTCTTACAAAGGGGGATGTAATCCTGTCTGATATGCAGGGACATACCAAGCAGGATTCAAACCCACAGTGCTGTTAGAGATCGAAAATTCCACACATCTGCTTGTAATAATTTAATAGAATTTAAGAGAATTTGATGCAGGACTAGAAGAAAAATGTTGTCTGCATATTGGATTTAGAAGCTACTCATCCTGCAGGACGTATGACTCTGAAAATATTTTTCGATACCTGCTGTTGATTAATAGATTTAAAACACGGATGACAATTTCACCAATTTTTTAATTCGGATGTTTGAATTCAGTAAGCATGTGAACGTTCAAATGTTCCGATAACTCAACAAAAAAAAAATTCATAAACTATTTAAGTATTAAGTAATCAGGCTTAAGCAAATTTTGGACGGCGATGTCTTTTACCAACTGTTTGGCAGATTTTTAGTTTTTAAGTTACATGTCCAAAAAAAATCAATTTGATATATGTCCATAGGACACAGATGTCCCTGTCATACGTCATATCGCTAAATAAAATCACTGTTTGGAATTTGGATGCGAGGAATTATATCACAAGGACTTAGCTTATGTCAACTGGTTATGTCAATTGTCTAAATAAAGAATGTCAACAGTGATTGTATTGCATAATAGCACACACCTTCGAGCCTTCCATGTTCAATAGGGAAAAAATGTGGATCATGTTAGAATAAGAGTTATCAAGAGTTGGTGTAAGGACTGGACACAAAGTATTTACCCTGGACTGCTTCCTAATGGTAATTCTACCGACAACGGAGGGTTGTTAGGCTTATTATACGTGGGATAAACAACACTTGATTGAGGCCTCTGTCGGGCATACAATGCCCGATTTCTCCTTGGACTCCTGAAATTACAGAATGATCAATTATTATAAACAATTACAATTAAATTACATTGTTGATTATCAGCTGAAATTGAATTGAAATTGAATTGAGAATTTTGTAAGGTGAAATTGAATGAAAATGATTTGAACCCTATATTCGCTAAATGTCTGCAGTTCACCTTTTCAAACTTCCATTTTTGGAACTGGTGATTATCAATGTTTGGAGATATCAAGATGAAATTTTATGGCTGACCCATCAGTATAATACCTTGTCAGACAACAAATATGTGCAGACTAGCCTAGCTCTATGCTTACAGCTAAGGTTAATCACTTTCTGCTGCAGCAAAAGTAGAGTTAAAGCATAAATGTAATCTTACTGTAAAGCTTTCCCACCCACCCAAAAAAAAATCTAACATCGGCCAATATTGTAGCATATCGCTTATTTCCGGATTTTTTTCCAAATCTTAGGCTTAAGATTATTTGCAGCCACTCATCCTTTATCGTTATGTACTAAATTCCGGTTTCAAATGGTTAAAAATTCTTAAATACCGAAGATTGTGAAGAATAACATTACGTTCCGGAAATGACCAATTTATTACGATTTTCGCCGATGTTTAAAATTTTTTGGCGGAAGAGCATTGCAGTAAGACTAGCTTAAAGAGAAAAGTGTTATATTTCACAGACGAAAGCTGAAAGTCCTGCTTCTAGTGTCAAAGACTGTACATGCTGCATGTTTGTAACATCATTTTTCATTGGATAATCGTGACGTTTATATACTTTTATATACACGGCTGCTGTCGATTCATGGAGAAATCTTACTATTTTGCTCTAAAAATGATGCTTGCTGTATTATAAATTCGTTATAAAGATTGTTGACAGGTTATATGGCTGTATATAAATGGCTGTTTGCAATATAACCCTCGCCTAACGGCTCAGGTTATATTTACAAATAGCCGTTTATATAGGGCCATATAACCTGTAAACGATCTTTATAACTAATATCATACTTGTTTATTGTGATCTTCTTGGATGGAGGGCGAGAAGAAACCACGTTAACAATAACATTCGTGACCTTACACTAGCCCTTGACCAAGAATGCCATTCCAAATTACGTCATTCGATGATGCGGTCAAGTATTATTACTTTGATTCAAAAGAAAAGTGGACATAATCGGTGCTGAAGAAATTCCAGAAATTTAAACACAGTTACAGTAACAAGAGCTGTCGGTAGGACAGCAACGCTCGACTATTCTAGTGCTTGATAGTAAAAAATAATGCTTGATAGAGTTACCTACTCCTGTTTACAGGTTGGTGACATGATGGTGAACAAGTATGCAAAGTTTCAAAGCCATATGTCAATGGACTTTGAAAATATTTGAGGTATTACAAAAAACTTTAACGTAAATTCTAAGTCGAAAAAGGGGCATAATTCTGTCAAAATGCTTGATACAGTTACCTCCTCCTGTCTACAGGTTGGTGTCATGATGGTGAACAAGTGTGCAAAGTTTCAAAGCCATATGTCCATGGACTTTGAAAATATTTGAACTGTTACAAAAACTTTAACGTAAATTCTAAGTCAAAAAAGGGGCATAATTCTGTCAAAATGCTTGATACAGTTACTTCCTCCTGTCTACAGGTGGGGGTCATGATGGTGAACAAGTGTGCAAAGTTTCAAAGCCATATGTCAATGGACTTTGAAAATATTAGAGGTATTACAAAAACTTTAACGTAAATTCTAAGTCGAAAAAGGGGCATAATTCTGTCAAAATGCTTGTTACAGTTACCTCCTCCTGTCTACAGGTTGGGGTCATTATGGTGAACAAGTGTGCAAAGTTTCAAAGCCATATGTCAATGGACTTTGAAAATATTTGAACTATTACAAAAACTTTAACATAAATTCTAAGTTGAAAAAGAGGCATAATTCTGTCAAAATGCTTGATAGAGTTACCTCCTCCTGTCTACAGGTTGGGGTCATGATGGTGAACAAGTGTGCAAAGTTTCAAAGCCATATGTCAATGGACTTTGAAAATATTTGAACTATTACAAAAACTTTAACATAAGTGGTTACGCCGACGCCGACGCTCGGGTGACTACAATAGCTCTACTTATTCTTATCGAATAGTCGAGCTAAAAATTATCAAGACTTTTACAGAAAAAATAGACAATTTATACAATTTAAAAAATGCAAATTCCAATTTTGATCCCTAATGCCTTTAATGTGAAAAAAACAAAAGAAACACAGTGGAATTTATCTTTGATTATGACAGAAAACAGCCCAAGCATGCATGCAATGCTTTCTAGCACAAAGTACCATATGTTCATAATTTTATTTTTTTGCGTCATTGATTTCAGTTAATTTTACATGGTGCCCTGAGTCATGCATATAAAAAACTTGCAACAAGGGCTTTTGCCTCAACATGGGGATTAATATTAAGAATCTGCAAATTTCACTTTTAAGAATTTGTATAAACACAAAAGATATGACTAGAATGAAAATTATTACCCGATTTGTGTGTTTGTATGAGATAATAAGTCAGGGTTGCTATCACTTGAACCTACTATACAGGGTTCGTACAGACAATTCCAATGCCAAAATTCAAGGACTTTTTAAGCACTATTTAAGCACGTTTTTCCATTTTTCAAGCACATTTGTTGCACATATACCGACACAATCTTCAACCTATGATGGATAGTTTGTTCACCATTTTTTGTTGAATACACATTTTCTGACATTATACAAGAACAACAAAGGGTGCATCAAATACAGATTAGTTCAAAACAACTGCAATTTGTCCACTTACTGTTACCTTGAGTAAACATTTCATTGATTTTGATACTAAATTGGATCTTTTTTATTTTGTTAACCGTTGATTTTTATCAAAACTATGTCATTCTGTGATTCAAATATTTTCAAGCACATTTTTAGCAAATTTAAGCACTTTTTAAGCACTTTTCAAAAGAGTAATCAAATTCAAGGACTTTTAAGCACTTTTTAAATTTTTAAGCACTTTTTAAGAAAGAGACTCAAATTTAAGCACTTTTTAAGACTGTACGAACCCTGCTATATATTTTAGTAGGGTATAAATTACTTATTATTATGCAAATATGTAACAATATCAAATTATAGTTATATATTATGGTCTTAGAACAGCCCGAAACCCTCAAATATCCCTTAAAAAATATTATTTAAGAAATTAATTTTACTTTCAAAAAGTAAACATATATTCTAACTTGATAGATAAAAGATATTCTTAACTTTCAAGTTATTGCAAAAGTAATCTATCTTAAGATAGAATTATAGTTTTGCAAAAGATTTAGAAATCAAAGGGACATATTTTATAGTGTTAAAGTATTCTAACTCAAGATAGAATAGTTTTGCACAATAAATATTCTGGAAAAAGTAGCTTTTCTAGTGCAATACTAGGCTATGTTAGCATGTAGGCAATAAAATGCATATTTTACACTTTTCTTGAAAAAATGAACATGTACACAACTTACTTCTATTTTTTGATAAGGTTGGTTGTGAATTTTTTTTCAAAAAATGAAATCAAAATAAAATAACATATTTTTTCCCTTTCCTGAAAATTTTTCAAAATACAAGTTAGAATAGTCTTGCGCCGAGCCCTCGAGATGATGCGGTGGCATAAAAAGTCCAGCAACCTTTATTTTTGATTATGACAGAAAACACTGCATGTTGGCGAACGAATATCCCAGATTTTTGAGATTTTGGTAGCAAATATTTAAAAGATTTTTTTAAACGAATAGCCTGGAAAAAAATTCAGTAAAACCAAAAATGCACAGTTTTGTTGTTGTTTTTTGCGTCTGTAAATTACCCTGGGGGATGATGACTTTCGCTTGTTGTTCTTTTTCTTATCTTGTAAGTGTCGCCACCACCATGCGATATAGCCGAGGAAGCTGTGTTGCTACGGATACGGAACGGATCTTCTGCAGCCCTTGATTTCGCCATCTCACTGTAAAATTACACAATGTCAACATAAAATGAGCCACGTCACAACAAAACCAAAATAATGGGTTTGCGACCAGTATTAATCCAGACCAGCCTGCACATCCGCACAGTCTGATCAGGATCCATGCTGTTCGCTATCAGTTTCTCTACTTGCTATATGGTTTGTAAGCGAACAGCATGGATCCTGATCAGACTGCGCGGATGTGCAGGCTGGTCGCAAACGCACTATGTTGGTTTTGTCGTGACGCGGCTTAAATGATTTTTCAGAGCACCCGTTTACGTTAAATTTTATGTGAATCATCCACAGACAGCGTGCTCCAGTTTTCTCTGTGCTGGATAGTAAAATAAAAGCAACAGAGAAAAGAGGGCATAACACTGCACACAAGCTTATAAAACTTACCTGCCCTTGATATTCAACAAATTTAATATTTAAGTTGAAGTGAACACCTTTTTGAGATAAAGCGCAAATATTCTGATTATTGAAAAAAGCATAAATATTCTATGTCAAACCAGAGAAATAATAAAGCTAGAAGAAAATTAAACTACAATTGTGTGGTCACGCCATGGATGCCCCTGCATGCAGCCAAAATTTCAGATGTTATAATATTAATTTCCAAATTTTTTGCACAAACTATTTTTTTCATTTTAAGTTCAAAGCCCTTAAAACTTTTCAATGTAAACGCATACCATTTTTATACAAAGTTCAAGGAACTGAAACTATTCTGTGTTAACCTTTTGTAAATTGCATATTGCATATTTGTAGCCAAAATAATGACTACATACATTTCCACAAAAGTATGAGAGCTGCAACTGAAAATTCAAAATTTTTCCAACATTCAAGAGAGATAACTTTGTCCAAAATCATTGAACCATGACCAAATTCAAACTTATTATTCCTAAGATGTATTTATATGTCAAATTTGAGTTAATAGTGTACAACCTTGGGGAGATAATGAACGGAAACTAAAATTTTTTTCAAAGTTCAAGAGAGATAACTCTGTCAGCTATCATCAAACCATGACCAAATTCGAACTTGACCAGTGTATTCTTATGACATATCAATATATTAAATTTAAGTTGAATATGTACAACTGTTCGGGAGATAATGAATAGAAACTGAAAATTTCCTTTTTTTTTCAAAGTGAAAGGAGCACAACTCTGCAAAAATCATCAAACCATGACCAAATTCAAACTTGAACTGCTTATTCCTAAGATGTATCAATATGTCAAATTTGAGTTGAATGTGTAATACCGTTGGGGAGATAATGAACGAAAACTGAAAAGTTCATATTATTTTTAAGTGAAAGGGGCATAACTCTGCCAAAAATCATCAACCCATGACCAAATTCGAACTTGACCTGCGCATTCCTTTGCCGTATCCATATGTCAAATTTGATTGGGAGATAATGAAAATTCAATCAAGGGGCATTACTCTGTCAAAAATCATCGGACCATGACCAAATTCGAACTTGACCTGTATTTTCTCATAATATATCCATATGTCAAATTTGAGTTGAATGTGTGCAACCTTTACTTAGATAATGAACGGAAACTGATGATGACGGAATGACCAAACAAGGTACACTATATGCCCCAGCCATGTTATATCCGGGGCATAAAAGTCTCTAGACTATGTAATATACTGGAAAAACAATCTTTTTATATTGCTGGAAAGTCAATTAAAGGCACATTATGCCTCAGAAACAAATAAATGTTTCAAATATTTAAATTTTTCATGATAGATGTTTTCACCTGAATAAAATAAAACTAATTGTCCTATAGTAGCAAAATGTAAACAAAGCAGAATTTTGACTCACCTACAACATACTACATCACTAATTGCCAATTTAAGGCTTCTGAAGCAAAAGATGGTTCAGGAAAATTGGACAAAATTTATCAAGGCACCAAAAATATTTTTTTAGAAATAAAAATTATAGCATTTAGGGGCATAATGGGCCTTTAATACACTCAAGTACAATTTAAAGACATTCTAAATGGTTTGCAGTAACAATATTGTTTTTATTTTCTATGCTTATTTTTGTACATAACAAGTCTGGTTCCCAATTCTGACTCTACTAGTTGTAGTGTTTGATGGTATTTTAGCTTCATCAATAGCCCAGTCTATTTTTACAACAACAACAAAAATTTGATGTGTGCCATCAAAAATAGACAGACATGTTCCCTCAAGGCTACAAATGGTTTTAAAGTTTATAAAAAATTTTAATGAGATTTTTTTGACCAACCTGCAAATGCAAAGAGGTGAAAATGCCATCCCTTATTTCAACACATAACAAAATTCTTGAATAGGGCAGACCATTTAAAAGTAATGAAAAGTAAATGAATAATTACACGAAAACTCGGACTGAACTTACGAAAGAATGACATCATGCATGTTTTGTGCAGCATGACTTCCCTCAACTTCCAACCAAATATCTCCACTACCTGTGACGGCACTGCGACCAACTTCCATCAGAAAATAATGTTCGTGAGCACCACATTTACGTATACTTGAAAACTGAAATGTAAAACAATATAATATTATCAACATCATACCTAGTTTAGTCGCACCAGTTAACCCTTTACTTGCAAGGAACAAAGTGTTAAAATGCTTTCAATCAAATCGGGTTAAAAATCGCACAAATTATTGATTTTTCAATTTATTTCTTATGATCTTTTTCATACTTTTTCCATAATTTATAAAAAAAGCCAGTCTGTGCGAAAGCAAATTTTTTTTTCAGGCCACAAGGACCGACACCCAAAGGCTAATTTCCATCCTGGATGATGTAAAAATGATCTCTTATATATACAATGACCTTAATGTTTAAACAAAACAAGATGTTGACCTGAATTTATATAAAGCACACTTACACACTGGGAACTGGCAAGTCATGCATTTATTGAGCAAAGTGATCTCCCTTTAGCACTTTGCATATGTCATGAAAATGTTTACAATCTGGCTTAAGTCAGCCATTTAAATTATAGTGATCTGGAAAATAGCAGAATTTCAATGGCATGATGTAACTAACCAATGCAAATTAAGCTGTCAAAACTAAACTTTGGTGATGTTATCATCAAACAGGTCATTGATATTTATAGCTTCTTGAAATTTTGTTAGGACACAAGTCCGACAGTAAGGAAACTTATCTCAGACCACATGATTTTTATTCAGCTAGGACTGAGGACAGACAGACTTTAGCTCAGACAGAAGTGGCCCAGGAGATGTAAGTACAATTTTCAAATTTTATGTTTTTAGGCTGCTTGAAACTTGGTGCAGTTACTATAACCAAGTGGGAGATGAAAACACAGCTATTCTTTAAATAGTCAAGCTAAATACAACCCAATTTTAGTATTTTATATTGAAATTTTAAAACCTAAAACTTACCAAAATTCAAAGCAGGGCAAATCTTTTGCAAAAATACAGCAGGTTATGCTGGGGCGGTAAAATCATTTGCGTGTAGATGCCACAGCTTATCAGAAAAGCGAAAAATTTCCTGAATTTACATTATAAATATCATACGAACACAAAAAAATTATGTTTCAGATAAAACAAACCATAAGTCAAAATCAGATTTTGCCGGACCTATAATTGGTAAAAAGGAATGGGAATTCTTACCTGAAACTGATAGGAAGGTTTGTATTCTGCAAGTTTGACTAGCGATACAGTTTTGCCTAGCTCCGACAGACATAGGCGATACGGCCCCGTGATCTTAGAACAGGAAGAGGGTGACTTGTGCTTGATGATGCCTTGCCAAACATAGTCTGTCAACAAATATTATATAAATTTATATAAATAGATTTTAAATATACAAATAAAAGTAATTGGTTCAGATTCCATCCACTCATGCTGACAAGTTTTTAATGTCATAGAGTGACTTTTCAACATAACCGGAAGAAGATATTACGTGTACAGTAAACTCTACTTATTAGGATATCACTTATAATGTTAAGTTACTGCTTATAACGGTTAAGTTACTGCTTATAACGATTTAGTTACTGCTTATAAGGGTTGAGTTACTGCTTAAAGCCTTATAATGTTTAGTTCCTGCTTATAACGGTTAAGTTACTGCTTATAAGGGTTGAGTTACTGCTTATAACGTTTAGTTCCTGCTTATAACGGTTAAGTTTCTACTTATAACAGTTAAGTTACTGCATATAACAGTTAAATTACTACTTATAACAGTTAAATTACTGCTTACAACAGTTAAGTTACTGCTTACAACAGTTAAGTTACTGCTTAAAAGGGTTAAGTCACTGCTTTTAACAGTAAAGTTACTGCTGATAACAGTTAAGTTACTGCTTATAATGGTTAAGTTACTGCTTACAACAGTTAGGTTACTGCTTACAACTGTTTTTTTACAGTAAAGTTACTGCTTAAAAGGGTTAAGTCACTGCTTTTAACAGTAAAGTTACTGCTTACAACAGTTAAGTTACTGCTTATAATGGTTAAGTTACTGCTTACAACAGTTAAGTTACTGCTTACAACAGTTAAGTTACTGCTTAAAAGGGTTAAGTCACTGCTTATAACAGTAAAGTTACTGCTAATAACAGTTAAGTTACTGCTTACAATGGTTAAGTTACTGCTTATAACAGTGAAGTTACTGCTGATAACAGTTAAGTTACTGCTTATAATGGTTAAGTTACCGCTTATAACAGTTAAGTTACTGCTCATAACAGTTAAGTTACTGCTTATAATGGTTAAGTGACTGCTTAAAACAGTTAAGTTACTGTTTATAACGATGCTGTTGCCACGGTCAAGACTTTTGTTTTCAAATTGGTTGCCTCTGGGATATAACAACATCCAGCTATAACAAATCGATAAAAATTTGGGGGTCCCTTGAATATTGTAATATAGCAAAGTTTACTGTGGTTAATGGTAAATGTAAACAGACACACTATTGCCATAGAAACTTTTATTAACATCACTGAAGGAATATGTAATTTATCACGTGCCAATCTGTGTATAACAGCAGATTGGAACACACGCTCAAGACTATGAGATAATGTCACAGTGATTTTCACCTTATATAGTAAAAAGCCTCTTCCCTATCGAAATTACACAAACATTCTAAAAGCAAGCTGGTTACATGTACAATGTAACTTCTTTTGACTTTGAAACAAACCTGGATTAATATGTCTGGCCTTAAGGTTATAAAACATTATTCCGAGCTCATTCTCGAATCTTTTCATTGGTCAGAGGATTTTGGCCAATCAGAAATCAGAGATCAGATTTAAAGTTTAACAATTAATTATTATTTGCTTTGAAACATTTGACAGTGTAATCCATAGGCAGAAAAATTTTATGCCACTGCCAGTGATTTTCCTACTTATATAACAGACTCCGAAAAAAGGCCTCTTCCCAATTGAAATTTTCTTTAAAATCATGCAGTTTTCCCAAAAATCTGAACTCAAACCAGCTTTTTTACTTCCCAAATCAGCAATTTTAGCGGTAATTTTTCCCAAAATCAAGAGGCTAAGGCCTCTTCCCAATAAAGTGAGAAAAATCACGGACTGCCACCCATACCTCCCTCACCCCCAAAGCAGGTTTTAAACTTGTAGAATGCTAGCGAAGGTGATGATTTGCCCAGGTAGAGCCAGACCTGCAACTTGCAAGCATTTCTAATATGGCCTTTTGCTATTGTAATACCTAACCATTTAAATGGCAAGTTCCAAATTCAAACTAGTACAACGGTGCGGACAAGATTCAGCCGAGTTTTGGATTTACATTTATTAAAATAAAAAATTAAAATTTAAAATTGATATACCATAATGAGTACGAGGTTCCTCATCTTGCGGTAAAAACTCGTTTTGATATTCAAGCATTTTACTTATCCAATCCTCCTGCTCCGCTTCATTTTCTGCAAGCACCGAAAAACATTCATTTGGTAGGAAAATCGCTATCCCGAACTTGTGTTTTGAATCCACCTTCTTATTAATGTTGAAAAAAGTGTGCAGTTCATAGGATTTCTTCGGCGGATGATTCGTTTTGAATTTTTTCTCATTATCAAAATAGTCGAGTCGCGCCGGACCGCTGCTGCTTGTTGCTCTGAGTATAAAAAACTTCTTCTTCATCGTCTGAAATAAAAAAAATTGTTTGTAAACGTTTAAATGGAATCAATGAAAAGGCTTGGTTTTTCATTTTTATCTGAGGCAACAGATGTGCCAACAAAGACAACTGATTTGGCCAAGGGTCAAAGGGGATGGATAGTTTAATCTACAAGCTGAAAATACAACGGATTTTAACAGTATTTCAACCGATGATATGAATCGTCAATCTGTTAATAATGAAAACCCTGAAAGGTTGAGAAATATGCTGCGCTGTATATTATTGTCTAAAGCCATACAGTACAGCTCAAGCAATTTTTCCACTTTCCGCTCAGTCACCGCGGACACGTTTAACGGCGAGCGGGAAATCGCTGGGGAAATACTATAGTAGCCACAGTGACAAATCACCGCGGACGGGTAGTAAAAAAACCCCGCAATCCGCGGTGGAAAATCACAGAGATTTGCCATGATTAATTTGCATATATATATATGTAAACGTTCCCGTAAATGTACAACGTAGTCTTCCAAAAAAAAAAATCAATAACACTTAATTGTTGATTTTAATTAATAAAATTATAGAATAAGCTCTGCGAAATTAATGTACATTTACCAAAATCACAAAAAAAATTAATGAAAAAGGTTTCAAGAAAACGGAAAAACGAAATATTAACGAAATCGGTCAACATACAACGGATTTTAACAGTATTTCAACCGATGATATGAATCGTCAATCTGTTAATAATGAAAACCCTGAAAGGTTGAGAAATATGCTGCGCTGTATATTATTGTCTAAAGCCATACATGTATACACAAAAGGACAACATATTAAATTTCTGCAAAGGAAAAAGAAAAAAGAAAAATTAATTTAAAAATAAAAAAAATGGTCAGTAGTGTAGAATGGCTATTTGTGTGAGATTGTAGCTTTAAATAGCTTTTTTCTTTCAATTATCTCAACTTTTTCAGAACTTTTAAACACATTAAGTCTTTGCCCTACTTTTCGTCCAATCAGAAGACCTAATTTTTGAAAATTTCTGACTGGAGCTCTGCATTGACATTGATGTTTGTGACTATCACTACCAGCTGAACTCATAAATATAAAAGTAGATTCCAAAGATGCAATAAAGTATTTTCCATGACATAGATAGTATTATACATGTACCAACAGAATATATAGACATACCATGTTATTTTTCCAGGATACAAATATTGTGTTTTAAAGATATGAATAATGATCATCCCCGAGTAAAATATTTTATTTAAACACAGAAATTTATTGAAATCTATAAGTATTATTTTCTTACAAAATATGTCTAACTGAAATAACAGAATGAATAAACATTAACTATGTATGGGAAGCTGCGTTTCCTTTTCAGATCAAGTAAAGTTGGTCTTTTCTTTAAAAAAAAACTACCAGTTTTTTTAATGACACTATATATTCATACAGTTACTGTGACCACATATAATATAACTAGTATGTAGAAAACATAACATTTCTTTTTTTACTTGAAGTCAAAACATGTTTACTTTATATCTATAAATAATTATCAATATTTTCTAATATCAAATTTGAGCATAGTACATTCTTTAATCATGTTCACAGAAAAAACAAGAACGTGTTTGTTAAACACAAATGCTCCCTGGCTCAGATTCTTTGTCAGTAGCAATATTTCAAAAAATGTTTTTTACCATTCACCTCAAGTATGCAAACTCTAACCAGAAAGTTCCAAACTTAAAACAAGACTCTTAATTGCATAAATGAGAGACTTAAAACTCTTACCTCAGGGGCAACAATTGGCCTATATCCACGCACTATAGAACCCAGGCAGCTTTCAAGCATTTACACGTCTGACCAGGCTGTGACATATAAAGTTATAACATCACGTAAAAATCGCTCAATTTTTTTTGTATTTTTTTTAACATAAGACCTCCTATAAACTTGGAATGAGACTGTTTCAAATTCGAAAATAGGGCAAGTCTATTATATCAAATTCAGCAGGTTTAATGTGTAAACAGTTTTCAAACTGTTAGTAGCTAAATTTTTTGTATTTTTTACATTGGACTCCCTTAAAACTTGGAATGGACTGTTCAAATTCGAATAGGCAAGTCTATTATACAAATTCAGCAGGTTTAATGTTTAAACAGTTCAAACTGTTTAGTAGCTAAATTTTGGTATTTTTTAAACCATTGGACTCCTTAAACTTGGAATGGACTGTTCCAAACAGGGCAAGTCTATTATAAAAATTCAGCAAGGTTTGAATGTTTAAACTGTTAGTAGCTCAATTTTTGTATTTTTTCAACATTGGAATCCCTAACTTGGAATGAGAACTGTTTCCAAATCTCAAAACAGGGCAAGTCATTAATCCACACAATTCAGCAACAGAGAAAGGGATTGGAGACAGTGACTCTTGCGCCGGGTTATTTGTGGCCACAGATTACGAGAGAGCACACCACGGAGGTGGTAATACATACTATCACACTGTGACGCCAGAGATCCAGTATTCGCAAGATTATGGACACCTAAAATTGCCAAAAAATTGTAAAACACAAGTTATATAGCTTGACAAAATCATGGCATTTTGTAATTGTGAAAAATATAAGTTGCAAAGTCATTGCTCTAACTTGTGAAGTTGAAAAATATTCAACTTCATGCAAGTTATCTTCCTACCAAATATGAAAATACATAGATCTGCCATTAAATAAAGGCTGTATGGGCAAAAGTGTAAAAATCTTTTTGAGCACTGATAACCTTAACCAAACTGACCCCTGACTCTATCCAAAAGAAGAATACCATGTAAGTTATCTTCCTACCAAATATGAAATACATCTGTCAATAAATAAAGGCTGTATGGGCAAAAAAGTAAAAATCTATTTTTAGCACTGGTGACCTTAACCAAACTGACCCCTAACTCTATCCAAAAGAAGAATACCATGTAAGTTATCTTCCTACCAAATATGAAATACATCTGTCAATAAATAAAGGCTGTATGGGCAAAAGTGAAAAAATATATTTTTTGCACTGATGACCTTGACCCAACTGACCCCTTACTCCATCCAAAGGAAGAATACCATGCAAGTTATCTTCCTACCAAATATGAAATACATCTGTCAATAAAATAAAAGCTGTATGGGCAAAAGTGTAAAAATCTATTTTTAGCACAAGTGACCTTGACCCACTGATCCCTACCCCAATCAAAAGGATGAAAACCATGCAAGTTATCTTCCTACCAAATATAAAATATATCTGTCAATAAATAAAGGCTGTATGAGCAAAAGTGTAAAAATCTATTTTTAGCAATGGTGACCTTGACCCAACTGACCACTAACTCCATCAAAGTTTATGTTTCTATCAATTATAAAATAACATCTGTCTATAGAATAAGGTCAATACACCTGTAAAAATGTAAAAATCTATTTGCAAGGACTCCCTTGGCATGTTTGTATTAAAACTAAGACATCAACTAAAATATTAAGGCTGTATGAGCAAAAATGTTTATATTTATTTTTTAAAACAGTGACCTTGACCCTAGAGACCGCTTACTCCACAAAAAATTAGAGGACCATCAAAGGTATCCACCTACTAAATATGAAAGATATCATTAAAGAAATTAAGCAATTAGGTGAAATTTAAGATAAATCCAACTTGCTGAAATAAGTTAACCAGACAAGGCCCTATTTTCAAAGTGAAAAAAGGGAAATAACTGGGAAATATGGATGACACAGTTATATAACTTGGCAATATCATGTACTTTGTATTGATAAGTTAGTGTGGAAATTATAAAGCCATTAGTATAGATAGAACTTAAGATATTCCCAACTTGCCGTTTTAGGTTAACCATTATTCATTTTCTAAGTGCTGAAAAAGGGCAATAACTTGGTAAATATGAAAGCCAGAGTTATGTAACTTGCCCAGATCATGTACTTTGTATTGATAAGTAATTGTGTAAACTTAGAAGCCATTGGTACAGGTAGAACTTAAGAAAAATCCAACTTGCCGTTCTAGGTTAACCTCGTACGGACAGACGGACGGATGGTTCAATCACTATATGCCCGGGGGCATAAAAATATATAATTGTGTATTTACAAGTCAGCTTTAAAGGTGCATAAAACTAAGAGTAAGATTGATTGCCTAATTGATAGCGGATTAATAATTTTAACTGATAAAGTTTTTACTTAAAATGTCAGGACGTGTCAACTGAAAGCATAATCTTCTTAGTTATGCAACGCACATTAAATCAAACTTCATTATTTAATACACGTATGTAATAAAAAAAAAATAATATACACAAATGAAAATAACTATGCTTAGTTCACATTAAATTATATAAATTGATTATTGATTTAATTCGAAGTTTTTCATCTATTGCTTAGTTTCCCAGTTATTTTAATTTGTATTTTATTTTTTGTCCAGAGCTACCATTCTCTAAATCAGGTGCATAACTCTGAAATAATGTAAAAGAAACATTCTAAAAATATATTGTTCTCAAGCAATACACTTCTCAATTTATCCATGGCTCTATGAAATGTCAAGGTCATCCATCATTTATGAAATTATGTTTATCACACATTAAATGGGATAGGTGGCCTAGTGGTGAAGGTGTCTGCCTCTCAACCCAGGGATCATAGGTTCAAGCCCTTATTGGGTCACGACCATGTTGCTTCATATGACACCAGTATTGCTTGGTACAAGGAAGCGGTCTTAAAAAGTTACAAGAACTTGTTTGGCATTCGAACTTAAATAAATATGTTTAAACCAAAGAAAAATTTACAACTTTTTTTGATGAATGTATGTACATGCGTATTTGCAAATGAATGATTTATGGGTACCTAAGTTATGTTTCTTTCTTACATTTTAATATACAAAATATCTTTAAATATACATGTAATTTACAGGTTTAACAAAGCAAAAATTGTTCTATACAAAATATTAAATACACTAATTGTAAAAAATTTCAGACTTTTGCAGGAAAAAGAGAGAGAATCTTTATATTGAAAGCTTTTCAACAGTGGGCATGCCACATAGTTGGTTTAGAGCCCCAAGTGACCCTTTCCGCAAGGTAGAATGGTAATGGTAATATAACATTTGGATGCACACACATACAAATACACCAACAGATGCAACATTACCCATTGAAATGGGGGTGTGGGGTGAATAATAACTGGCCAATCAATTTGTCAGTACTTTACTTACGTCCCATACTCCTAAACACATACAGAAAGAGGGAGAGGGTGTGATGTTATCCAGCGAATTTGGGTCAACTTGGCCCTAAAACTAACTTGGGCCCCCAGGTCATATTGGCCCTATACCAACTTGGAACAGGTCGACTTGGCCCATAGTTATATGATACTGGAAATGTTTACTTTGAACTCTTTTATTACTTTTAAAAATTTAATATATTGTCATCATTACTTTCATTGGTTAACATTTTCACATTTATGGACCTATACTTATGGATATTTAAAAAGATTTATTGATCAAAGTATTGAAGAATTTGTAGGTATCAAAGGACGAATTTACAATTTATTGATATGTTTTGCCCACTTCAGATTTTTAAAAACAAAAACAAAAAAAACAGCATAGGTCGTTATATGGAACAAACAATGTTTATTTAATGTCACAAAGTTCAATCTAAAAACTTTATTTATGGATCAATCATATCATAAAACATCTTGTCTTTATAATCTCTTCTAGAGATAAACAAAGATAATTGTGGCGCATTAGCTCAGTTGGTTAGACCACTGACTAACACTCCTGAGGTCTCGGGTTCGATCCTGGGTAACACCCTTGGGATTTTTCAGAGATACTTTCAGTGTTTCCCACCTACCTAGAGGTGTATTGGTAAGAAATCTAGGTAATCCTCGCATGTATCAGTGCTATACACTGGGTATGTAAAAGAATCAAAGAATCTATTCAATTTGCTTGTATCTCATATAAATAGCTGTCTCTCAATTAGATTTAATGTATACAATGTATACCTGCATAGTGTAATCGTAAATGATTTTAAATCAGTATGATGTAGATATATAGATGTAGATAATTTCAAACATTATGCTGCTGACTTTTTTCAATTGTAAGAGCTGTTGTACCTCAGAGGGGTCTGAATAATTTCATAAGAAGTTACTCCTTAAAAATTTATTAACTAATATATAAATAATCTATATTAACCTAATATGTTTTTAATAGCGGGCCATGATGACACCTGCCGATTTGGTATAGGGCCAAGTTGACCCTCTAGTCTTTACTGATCTAGCAATTTGTCTAAATAATGAATATGAACTTGTATAAATTTGTGAATTTGAACGGGAGTACCGAATATGAATATTATTATTTTTTTAAAAAAACAGCTCTTTTGGGAATTTTTTCGTACACAGATACTACCATTTACTTGTATTAGGTCTTTAAATGAAAGAAAATGAATTTCTGAATTTATTTGGTTGTAAATTATTGTGAAAAGAAAGATACCCAAATATGAACAAGAACATTCTGATTTCTGAATCAAAAATATAAACATTATTATTTAATTCTATATATTCAAGACATGCCGACAGGCAGGATGTCTGGCTCGCTTGTCTTACTCAAACCTGGACCTATAAGATTCAGATCAAGGAGAAAGATGTTAACATAGGTGAGATGTACGCAACACATCCTCTTTATATCCAAGGCAAAATCTTGACATCACATCATCTTAGGTGACCTTGACCTCTGAAAATGTCATTTGAAAATTCATCCATGCATGAAGAAGTTATAGCATGGACAAGTTTGTCTTGCTTGGATGCAAGTATGCATACACCAACACAAGTTATATTAAAATTCACCCATGTATGTAAAAGTTATAGGCCACTAGCAAATGAATGTTTTTTCTGTTATTTGACCTTTGACCCCTAAGTGTGACCTTGACCTTTGTCTCAGACTGAATTTTTCGCGCAACTCTCCACCTCTCTATGAAAAATATTTGTTCCAAGTTATATTTAAATCCCTCCATGCATGTAGAACTAGAAGTGATGCTCCGGAGATCTGGGTTTTGCGCTGACCCCCAAGTGTGACCTTGACCTTTTAGATGCGGACATGGGTTTTGTGTGCAACACACCACTCCATTATGGTGAAAATTTCTGCTAAATTATTTAAAAATCCTTCAAAGAAAGATCCAGATATAGACTAGACAAATCCGGACAGGTGCACATACACTTAACTTTATGCCAAAAGTGGCAACTAAGTCTCACTCTCCACAAGTGGGCTGAACAAAAATCTCATCTACATAATTAAGATATGTGATAAAATATCTCACAAACGTGAAAAATAGACAGTATTATTTACCTATATGATATAAATATTTGCTTAGAGACATAAATCATGCAACAACTGAAATATGCATAATTTTGTAATTTTATACCTTCAGTTTCTTTAGATATCCTTGTTTGACGATGTCTGACCCAGGACTTTCCCTGTACATACCAATACGTCGCGTTGGTTCCATCTTTGATACCAATTTCCCTTACTGATAAAAGTTCACTAATTGAAATTATGTCAAGAAATCGGTGCCAGTAATGAGTACATTTCCAACCATTTTATATCTCTTCTGTAGAACTGCATTGACAAAAGACCTCATGCATTCGATATATTGTGTTCTTTCTCAGTCGTAGAAGCCAAGCAATAATTTATTGACAAACTGATAAGGTGCATATTTCAATGTAAACAACATGTTTACAAAAAACGTTCTAATTTTATCAAAAAGCACAAGGGTAAGTTTTCCGATTAAAAATGTTCTATTTCCTATTTTCGGTACGTAATATTTATTTTCTTCGAGTTCTTTCAATAACTACACACGATAATCGCGTGACTTTTAAAGCAACATCATATACACGAAATATTTTTCATCCTGCATTTTCGCCAATTATCTTTCGCCAAGGTGGCCATCTTTAATATAAGTCACGTGATATGTTTTACATGTAAACAAGTAGAGCGCATGCGTAAATATAATCGCAGCTTTTCGGTCCTTTTCACAGCGGTTACTTCCCTTGATCTGTTTAACCGTCTTGCAAATTTTCTATATAAAAATTTTGAAAGGCCCTGCTAAAACGAGCCGATTTAGGCTAGAGCCGATTTCGGCTAGCCACAACCTTAGAAGTTCAAGGACAACGCTGAAAATTGGTATCTGATCAACATGTAACACGGACTATTTAAATTGACCATACTTTAGTTTCAGTGAATAGTAAGTTACATCACGGATTTAGGTCTACATAGAACACGGCTTTAATTAAAAAAAATTCGTGTAAGTGGATGTTTCTGTTAAAAAAATCGTTATATTTAAATAAATGAAAGGAGTTCATGTTATACAAATCAACAATCAACATTTACATATGAAAGTTTAAAGGCCCATATAATACCACAGAAATGCTTTTATGTATATTTCTCAAAAGCTTTTTTTTTATTTTTGTTTCCAAAAAGTTGCTACTTCTATGACAAATTATTTCACTTTTATTTCATGCTTTCCAGTGTTTTACTGTAATATAACGGATGATTATATTCTGATAAACCACTAGTGAAATTTATAAAATATAATTTATATCATAACTAAATGGAATAACAGGCAAAAATAAATGCCGTCAAACTTAAACTTTGCTTCTTCGGGAAAAGAAAGTCAGTGTCATCATACATCATGTTAAAATGTAACAAAATTAGAGAAATTTAACAGGACTATATTTCAAAACTGATGATATGACGTCATGATGTGATGACGTCATAAAGGAGAATGCGCGACGTTACGCAGCAAAATCAGTAAAAAATACTTAAAATCACTTAAAAAGCGTGAAATAAAAAGAAAATTTATTTGTTAAACATATAAGATTGAAATATATTTCATTTGTGAACACCAGCTATTATATTTTCACTCGTGTCAACGCCACTCGTGAAAATATTGCATCTGGTATTCACTCAGTGAAATATATTTCAGTCTTACATGCAAAACGAACAAATATCCTCTATTTATTGCTACTTCTTTCAGATAACAACCATCTAACATGCGCGTATTTATAAAGCATTAATTAACTTCACGTTAGCCCTTTCCAAAGAAGTAAAAAAAATTGTTCGTTTCTAAGGCATATATAATGTGTCTTTAACCAGTAGAGAGCCAAACCAGGCTGAACGTTCATGCAGTCTGATCAGGCACTGTATTGTTGGCTGATTAACTTGTTAAATTTCAACTTCGTATACAATTATATTAAGCGTTATGTAATAGAAAGAGCACCGAAACACGAGGTTATCTGATTTGTACGAGGGGGCGTAGCCCCCGAGTATTAATCAGATTGCCGAGTGTTTTGGTGTTCTTTCTCTTTTGTATCATAGTCAAACATAAAAGCACGTTCCCTGTTGTCATAATATGAAACCCCAGCAAAAATGAACCAATGAACGAACATCTATGGAACGCCTGGACTGTCTTATGTTAAGATTGAATGATATACCTGGTTAAATGTCTTTCTGTTGAGTCCGAGATACAAAATGCTGGGTGGAAATCCTAATGTTCTCAGTTATTGAAGTGCTATGTTGTGTGCTGACTGTATTTTATTCAGTCAAGTCAATGTATTGTCGGGTGCATAAGTCGTTATGTTCAGTTCTTAAAACAAACAGGCATGTGGAAACACAATTATGTTGAGTTAAAAAGATATGTTGTAGGGTGTTACAGTTATTATGTTCGGTTATAATAATAATGCTTGTTTGGTGCTCTTCTCATCATGTTCAACCATGAAAATAAACAGTTGAGTGGTACTATCATTTTGTTTGGTTGAGGCAGTGTATTATTGGGTGATACTTTTATTATTTTCAGTTGCAATGACATGCTGTTGGTTGCTTTATTCCTTCTGTTCAGTCGTGAAATAGAACTGTTAAATGGTACATCATCATTATCTTAAATGGTACTTTTCATTATATTGTGTTGCTGATTATATCTTCTTCAGTCAAGTCAATGTGTTGTTCGGTGCAAAGGTCGTTATGTTCAGTGGTTTTTTGGTACTATCATTATGTTCAGTTCAGATGATATACTGTTCGGTGCAGAGGTCATTATGTGTTCAATAGTGAACACAAACTGTTGTGTGATACAACCATTATGTTGGGTTCATTCGATATTTTCGGGCAACAAGATGGGAGAGGTCACGTCGGGGCTAATGACCACTAATTGCCAAAAACAATTTTCTTCCCTATAAATATTATCGGGGGGGGCTTAAGAACGTTATTTTCATAAATTGGACTTTTTAAATACCCTATGGGTATTTTTTTAGTTAATTCATGACTATACTATACTGTTACCAGTCATAATGGGTACAGTATATATATAAACTTAAAATATGGGTAAGGGTCGTAGCCTGTTAAAGTCACACGTGACCACCGTAAATAAAACTTAAAATTTATCTGTTGGTTAACCTATAAGCAAGTCACAAATGGACACAGCAAACCGAAATTTAAAATATAAAACATCATATTCAAGTAAGGGAACCCTATTTAAATCACACACATGGCCACAGTATATGGAGCATATAAGTAAGGGTAGCCTATTAAAGTCACATATATGGCCCCACAGCATATACGACTTAAAATATATTTGTTGGTAACCCATTTTGAGTCACACATAACCACAATAAATGGAACATAATATTTAAGTAAGGGAAACCTATTTGAGTCACACATGGCCACAGTAATATGAACATTAGATATAAGTAAAGGTAGCGCAATTTTAAAGTCACACATACCCACATTATGAAGAACATTCTATATAAGTAAGGGAAACCTAATTGAGTCACACTAGGCCAAAATATATGGAACATTATGTTTAAGTAAGGGAAACCTTTTTGAGTCACGCATAACTAAAAGTATATGGAACATTATATATAAGTAAGGGTAGCCTAATAAAATTAGACTCAAATAATTTCCCTGACTTAAACATTATGTCTAATATATTGTGGCCATATGTGACTCAATTAGGTTTCATTTCTTTATAAAGAATTTTCTTTATACTTTGGCCATGTTTGACTTTATTAGGCCACACTTACTTATATATAATGTTCCATTTACCTGTGGTCATGTTTGTCTCAAATGGGGGTTCCATACTTATATTTTAACGGTGGCCACTGTGTGACTCAAATGGTAATTGTTTTGGCAATTTAGTGGTCATTAGCCTCGACGTGACCTATGGAAATTAGTTGCTCCCGCCCGCCATCGTTGTTTGACGCGAAGAAATCCGAATGAACCCAACATAATTGTATGACCACTCAGCGCATTGTCAAATGACTTGTGCACCGAACAGTAATATCATCTGAACTGAACATAATGACGGTATCACACGACAGTTTGTGTTCACTACTGAACATAAATGACTTCAGCACCGAACAGAATATCATCTGAACTGAACATAATGACGGTATCACACCACAGTTTTTTTTGTGTTCACTACTGAACATAATGACCTCTACACCAAACAGGATATCATCTGAACAGAACATAATGACGGTATCACACCACAGTTTGTGTTCACTACTGAACATAATGACTTCAGCACCGAACAGAATATCATCTGAACTGAACATAATGACGGTATCACACCAAGTTTGTGTTCACTACTGACCATAATGACTTCTGCACCGAACAGAATATCATCTGAACTGAAAACATAATGACGGTATCACACCACAGTTTGTGTTCACTACTGACCATAATGACTTCTGCACCGAACAGGATATCATCTGAACAGAACATAATGACGGTATCACACCACAGTTTGTGTTCACATACTGAACATAATGACTTCAGCACCGAACAGAATATCATCTGAACTGAACATAATGACGGTATCACACCACAGTTTGTGTTCACTACTGAACATAATGACCTCTACACCAAACAGGATATCATCTGAAACAGAACATAATGACGGTATCACACCACAGTTTGTGTTTCACTACTGAACATAATGACTTCAGCACCGAACAGAATATCATCTGAACTGAACATAATGACGGTATCACACCAAGTTTGTGTTCACTACTGAACATAATGACCTCTGCACCAAACAGGATATCATCTGAACTGAACATAATGACGGTATCACACCACAGTTTTTGTGTTCACTACTGAACATAAATGACCTCTGCACCGGACAGAATATCATCTGAACTGAACATAATGACAGTATCAACACCACAGTTTGTGTTCACTACTGAACATAATGACTTCTGCACCAAACAGGATATCACCTGAACTGAACATAATGACGGTATCACACAACAGTTTGTGTTCACTACTGAACATAATGACTTCTGCACCGAACAGTATATTTATCTGAACTGAACATAATGACTTCTGCACCGAACAGTATATCATCTTAACTGAAACATAATGACCTCTGCACCGAACAGTACATCATCTGAACTGAACATAATGACTTCTGCACCGAACAGTATATCATCTGAACTGAACAGAATAACGGTATCACACAACATTTTGTGTTCACTACTGAACAGAATGACCTCTGCACCGAACGGTACATCATCTGAACTGAACATAATGATAGTACTATTCAACAGTTCTATTTCACGACTGAACAGTCTGAATAAAGCACCCAACAGCATGTCATTTCAACTGAAAATGATAAAAGGATCACCCAATAATACACTGCCTCAGCCAAACGAAATGAATAGTACCACTTAACAGTTTATTTTCATGGTTGAACATGATGAGAAGAGCTATTTCAACCGAACATAACAACTGTCATACCCTAAAACATATCTTTTTAACTCAACATAATTGTGTTACCACATGCCTGTTTGTTTTAAGAACTGAACATAACGACTTATGCACCCGACAATACATTTGACTTGACTGAATAAAATACAGTCAGCACACAACATTACACTTCAATAACTGAGCGCAATTTGATTTCCACCCAGTATATTGGG